GAGGTTGGGGTAGGGTCTTGGGGCTGCACCTTTTCACATCATTCAGCCTCGTGGGGAGTGTGCATCATGGAGCGAGACTGGCCTTGGGAGCAGGCAGGGGTCCGAGCCAGACACCTGGCTGTGAGTAGTGCCTCTGCCCAGGTATGCTCTGACTCACTTGGGTGCAGTCTTGAATGAGCATCCCATGAGGCAGTTATAAACAGTGTCAAGGCACAAGGTTCTGCAGACTGTGCCACGGAGTCCACTGTCTGCTGGGGATGAGGAAACAGGAACCTAGGATTAATGTGCTGAGGATGTGGGGGTGGGGTTAGGTGGTGTGATGAGCTCACATGGCAGCTCCCGTCTCACTCAGCCTTGGGGTCAGGAAGCTTCGCAGAGGAAGCAGCGTCTGAGCCCTGAAGGATGAGCAGGACTTGGCCAGATGAGAAAGGAGGGAAGGTCTTGTAGGTAGAGTTCAGCCTGGCCAGAGACCTGGAAGCAAAGCGGGAATAGCACATTGGAGGTCCTGACCGTGTGACCGTATGACTCAAATGTGCCATGTCTGGAGAGGTGGCAGGAGCCAAAGTCTGTAGGGACTTGTGGGCAGGGTAGGCAGTTTAGACTTTGTCCCAAGACAGTGTCTTTGATGTTTAGAAAAGTGACTCACCTGGAGTCCAGGGCCTTGTTGGATGCCTTGTTTGGGTCTCTCTTGCTCTTAGGTGGGAGATAGATGAGCCCTGACTCCCCTGCTTCCTAGTGCTGAGCTTGCAGGACTGGGGGTGGCCCAGATTTAAGAGCAGGATCTTGGAGCATTAGCTTCCAAGGTCCTGGGGGTGGAGGGGTTGGGTGGGGAGTATCCATTTGGCTCTAGCCCAGGTCAGAGCTGAGTCCCTGTGGCTGCTAGGCACCTCGTCTCTGCCTGTGTGTCCTTGACCCATAGCAGTCTTGTTTCTTTTTCTTTTCTTTTAAATAAGTTTTAGTTGTTGATGGACCTTCATTTTATTTATTCATATGCGGTGTTGAGAATCAAACCCAGTGCCTCCTGGATGCCAGGCAAGTGTGTTACCACTGAGCCACAACCCCAGCTCCGAGCAGTCTTATTTCTTAGATGAAACACTGATTGCTCCAGGTGGCTGGTGAGTGGCCTGGTCCCCTCAGTGGCTACGGCCCGGTCCTCTGCCCTGTGGCAAGGGCTCACCAGACTCTCTTGGGTGGGCCAGCCAATGCTGGACATGAGGTGGGCTGCTGATGACACTTGAGAAAGCTTTGTGTTAGGGCTGTCATCCCTGCAGAGCATGGTGACCATGAACACAGAACATCCACAAGCCCTTATAGCACACCCACAGGTGGGTTCAGGGCAGCTTTTATTTCGTGACACACACTGCTTGCTTCTTGCTATAGATATTCCTGAAAGCATCACAGGTTCTGGGCAGCTGGTGCTACCTCTTGCCTTGCCTTCAGCCCAGGGGGAATTGTGGGTCTGGTCAAGAATTGCTTGCAGTAGAGAAGAGCCTGGAGGAAGGGACGAGGGAAGAGAGCGTGACAGTCTGACAGATTGATAGAGTGGGTTGCAGAGTCTGGGGCCCCATGGTGGCTGTGGGTTTCCTTTCACAGTGTTCCTGCATCCGTTGTCAGAGGCCCTGCATCTGGTCCCAGGGGTGAGCTGCCTACTGGGGTTCCTTTTTACACCCTCTTCCCTGTACCTCTGGGACTTGGCTCATAGGTCGGCAGCTTTTGCAGAGGATGGCTTCCTTGCTCTTCCTCCCTGCAAGGAAGGCCAGGCTGACTACCATCTGAGGGACTGAGGAGTAGGAATGGAGCAGAAGAAATGGGAAGAGGTGGTTCACTTCTGTCCCAAGTAGGCAGGGAGGTGCTAATGGGCTCACAGCTGGGAACCACCCCCCGTGGCAGCCAGAACTGATCCAGCTGGGAGACTGCAGGAGCCAGAGAGCCTAGCCTAGTGGTCAGTGCTGCTGGAGGAAGTGTCAGTGTCAGGCCTCCCTGCCGCTGGATCTCCTGTGCCTGCAGTCCCCTTTGTGGTGAGGTCCCTTCCCTTCCTCAAGACTGAGGGTCTCAGCTGTCTTGGGTAGAATGGGAGAGGGTTACCTGCCAAGGGGTCAGGCAAGAGGAGGAGACTTCCCACTGCCAAAGAGGAGTATCTGTGTCAGCAGATCCTCACTCTGAAAGGTGGTGGGGTGCTGGGAAATGAACCCGGGGCTTCCTGAAGGAGTAAGAACTTGATCTTGGAGTCTGGCAGATCTGGCTTTAAGTCCTGGTTCTGAGACACAATTATGGGTGAACACAGGCAAGTTACTTAGCTTCTAGGAGCCTCATCTTCCTCACCTGCAGAAATGGAAGTTAAAATAGCAACACCAGCCTTATAAGGCAGTTGTGGGAATTAAAAGAATGCAAAGTACTGAGGACCTTAGTGACATAAGCCCAACGTTGCTTTGTTGTTATTGCTGCTGCTCCTCAGTGCTCTGCCTCCTGGGTGGTCCCCTCCCCTCTTCCTCCCAGGTTCCCAGGCATTTTTTTACTCCTCTCCCCATCCCCCCAGAGGCTGGCCTTTCTTTGGGGGCCCCAGATCTGTGTGTCTGTGTCGCTGGCACTGTGCTCTCTAGTGGGGGTGACAGGGAGGCCTTTGCAGCAGGAAGCTTTTGGGGATAATTCAACTTCCCCCAAACCAGGCTCCTTGATTTGTTCTAAGGCAGTGTCTGTCTCAGTATCCCCAACCATGGCCCCCTTCATGTGCAGAATTAGCGAGTAGGGTCCTAGCAGCTGGGTGCAGCCCCTCCGGGCTGAGTTCTGGAGCTCCCTGCACAGGCTCCACCCTGTTCCCCCACATCTGCCCCTGCCTGGGCCCCTCTATCAGGCACACACTGGCACGCGCACCCAGGCCTGCCTGCCACGTGGGCCTTCCCTTGCTCCAGGTCCCAACCCCCAAGCCTGTGCTGTGGCTCGCTGGGCGACAGAGCTGTGAAGGGGGGAGGCATGAGTGCATGTGAACGCTTCCCCCCTCCTCCCACCAAGGCACCAGAGCACATGGGCCTGCTGGGTGCCCCTGGGCCTGCTGGGTACCCCTCTGCCCCTCCCCTCTCAAACGTTCTTCCTTCCTCTGTCTCACTTCTGTACACACGTACTTCTAGTTCACTGGGCCTGAGGCTCCCTGGGAGAGGCACAGCCCCACAGTCCTACCCTGTAGCTTCACAAGCGCGCCAGGGTGACTTTCAGTCTGGGGACTGGCTTTTGGATCTCTGCTCTGAATTGGGTTGGTCAAGAAACGGGAAAGAGGGTTTAAAAGCAAGATAAGGGTTTGTTTAAAAGCTTTCCATTCTTGTCCAAATCCTCCCCCTTCTGCTGGGGGCTAGGGTGACTTGGATGCCCCCAGTCCCTGTCTTAATCCTCTCTGCAACTACCCTAAATGAAGACAAAGGAGATGCACCCTGAGAGGGTCTCTTACTGCCTTCAGGGCTGAGGAGCCCACGGAGGACTTCGAGAGGGAAGTTACTCCTCTTCTGGATGCTGGGCGAAAGTGAAAGACAGGGAGTGGGCCTCCCGTGAGTCATGCCAGGCAGGCAGGCAGGCAGGCCCTGGGAGCCAGGGCCAGAGCTGCAGAAACGTGCAGAGGAGCGATAGCCTCAGAGAGGGGGCAGCACTGGGTGTAGGCAGGGCTTTGGATCCGCCCAGCCCCTGCTCTCTGCTGGTTTCCTGGGAATTGCCTGGGCTGCTACCGATGACCTGGAGTGTACAGGGGCTGAGGTCACCTGGACCTGCAGATTTATTCTCCAGAGCGATCTAAGCTTTCTGCCTCTCCTTTCCCGCCCAGCCTGAGTGACCTAGCATCAGAATATTCCTTGGGGAAGAGGTGAGCATGTAGTTTCTACCCCCACCAAGTTGCCCAGGGAGAAAAAAAAAAAATCTCACTGAGAGAGTTTTTAAAAATACATGCAAGCAGTTATGTAAATTGTAAAATGCAGGTCTGGATTCTGTTCTGTAGCAGCAGGATTAATAGAGAAGCCCTTTTAAAAAATCAAGTTGGAGAGGGCTGAGGCACGTAACCCAATGCTAAGCAGATGCATTGAGTCCTGGGTTTGATCCCCAACACCAAAAAAGAAAAAGGAAAAGAAAGAAAGAAAGAAAGAAAAATGTTAGCAAACAAAAAGAGAAAAACTAAGCACTTTAGTTATGACATCATGGAGAAATCTTATGCATCGAAGTTCTAGCCATCTGAACCTCACATATATGAGACTATTCTTTGCTCAGAGTGCTAGGGGCTCTTCAGCAATAGAGGGATAGGGTGGGGAGCAGCCCCAACCATGTTGACCAGCTTCTGGACTGGATTGGGCCTCCAGCCAGCCAGGGCTGCAAAACAGGTTTTGTGCTAATTGAGAAAGACTCCTGCAGCCAGAGCCCCACCCAGCACCTCTTCCCAGGGGTGGGGCCTCACCTACAAGCCTCTTACTTTGAAGGATTGTGAGCCTGGCCTGGGTGCTGGATTCTGAAGGCCTGGTGGGGATGCATAGGAGGTGTGGCTGTGCTGGAAATGACCCCAACACACGCACTTCCTGTGTCTGGTATGTGCTTGGAGTGTCACGGAGGAGGTATTGGCTGGATAAAGATCCTCTTGGATCTGGAAGGAGGCTTTTGTGTAGACAGATGAGCAATGAGGACTGGTGCCCCTGCCCAGTGGGCTGAGGCCTGGGTTAAGAGGGCAAAGGAGCCCTATTTGGCCTCTGTTGCCCTTTTTCCCAGCATGCCCCAGGGGATCAGGATGGATCCCAGCCTCTCTGGTCCTTCAACATGTGCCTTCGTAAAACGCGTACGTTATACAATCAAATGCAGCAGCCCTGGAGCTTAACCAGGAGGTGGTGGGACAAGAGTACCTCGGAGAGGCTGTGATCCTGCAGCCTCACCAGTGCTGCTCTGTGACATAAGGACTAGAAGGCCTTCGGGGCCTCATTCTCACACTTGTGCTGATGTCCAGGGATCCTGTGACTGATGCTGTCACTCTCTTTTTGCAGGCTCCAGGACCCTGTGGAGCATCATGATCTGGGAAGAGTAGATGAGCCCAAGAGACTTTCTGGAAGAGACAGGAGATGCCAGCTGTTCCCTCTCCCTGTGCCTGACCACATCATCCAGTATCATCAACCCCTGCTCTGCCCTCACTGGCTTCTGGACTAGGGCCAGCCTTCTAGCAGGACCTTTCCCCAGGGAATGGGCAACTGGTGAAGGAGGTCTCACTGCTGGGCTCCGTTGGCCACACCATGAACCTCCAGGCCCAGCCTAAGGCTCAGAACAAGCGGAAGCGTTGTCTCTTTGGGGACCAGGAGGCAGCTGCTAAGGAGCAGCCACCACCCCTGCAGGCTCCTCAACAGTCCATCAGAGTGAAGGAGGAGCAGTACGGTGAGCACGAGAGTCCAGCAGGCGCTGCCTCCACTTCCCAGCCCGTGGAGCTGCCCGCTCCTAACAGCCTGGCCCTGCTGAACTCTGTGGTATATGGGCCTGATCGGAACCCAACAGCCATGTTGTCCCAGCAGGTGGGCTCAGTCAAGTGGCCCAATTCTGTGATGGCCCCAGGGCGTGGCCCAGAGCATGGAGGGGGTGGGGGTGTTAGTGACAGTGGCTGGCAGCAGCAGCCAGGCCAGCCTCCACCTCATTCATGGAACCGGCTGTCCCTCTACAGTGGACACAAAGGGAACCCTCACCCCAGCGTGGGGGTCTCCACCTACTATAACCACCCCGAGGCACTGAAGCGGGAGAAAGTGGGGGGGCCACAGGTGGACCGCTATGGAAACACAGTGCGTCCCATGATGCCCCAGAAGGTGCAGTTGGAAGTGGGGCGGCCCCAGGCACCCCTGAACTCTTTCCATGCCAAGAAACCCCCAAACCAGACGCTGCCCCTGCAACCCTTCCAGTTGGCATTTGGACACCAGGTGAACCGGCAGGTCTTCCGGCAGGGCCCGCCACCCCCCAACCCTGCTGCTGCCTTCCCCCCACAGAAGCAGCAGCAGCAGCAGCAGCAGCAGCAGCAGCAGCAACAGCAGCAGCAGCAGCAGCAGCAGCAGCAGGCCGCCCTGCCGCAGATGCAGCTCTTCGAGAACTTCTACTCCATGCAGCAGCCACCCTCGCAGCAGCCCCAGGACTTTGGCCTGCCACCGGCTGGGCCACTGGGACAGTCCCACCTGGCTCACCACAGCATGGCTCCCTACCCCTTTCCCCACAACCCAGATATGAACCCAGAACTGCGCAAGGCCCTCCTGCAGGAGGCAGCCCCGCAGCCCATGCTACCTCAGCCCCAGATCGCCTTCCCCCGCCGATCCCGCCGCCTCTCCAAGGAGGGGATTCTGCCTCCCACCTCCCTGGATGGAGCTGGCACCCAACCCGGGCAGGAGCCCACTGGCAATCTGTTCCTACATCAGTGGCCCCTGCAGCAGCAGCCACCGAGCTCCCTGGGGCAGCCCCATCCCGAAGCTCTGGGATTCCCACTGGAACTGAGGGAGTCACAGCTGCTGGCTGATGGGGAAAGACTGGCACCCAATGGTCGGGAGCGTGAGGTTCCCGCCATGGGCAACGAGGAGGGCCTGAGGGCAGGAGGCACAGGGGACTGTGGACAGGTGCTACGGGGTGGGGTGATCCAGAGCACAAGACGGAGGCGACGGGCATCCCAAGAGGCCAATTTGCTCACCCTGGCCCAGAAGGCGGTGGAGCTTGCCTCACTGCAGAACTCAAAGGTGAGATGGGCATTGGGTGACAGATCTGGCAGGGGCAGGGGATAGCAAGTAACACTAGGCCCACAAGGGCAGCCTTTTCATTCATTAAGGCAAGCAGTGACAGCTGGTCCCGCCTCTTCCTCTCGGTCCGTATTGAACTTGAGTTGGAAGAGGCAAGTCTGGTCTCTGGAGGTAAATCCGCAGCTTAGTCACCTCCAGCTGCTGCTGCAGCCGCACAGCCTGGGGGAGGAGGGTGACAATCCAAAGGAACCAGGGGTATGGGGGTGGCAAAGATAGTGGAATGAGACCGACATCCTTACCCTAGGTACATGTAGGATTGCACGAATGGTGTGACTCTACTTCGTGTACAACCAGAGAAGTGAAAAATTGTGTTCTATTTGTGAACTATGAACCGAAATGCATTCTGCTATCAAAGTAATTAGAACAAATAAATAAATAAATTTTTAAAAAGGGAATCAGAGTAATTGAGGAAGCTATTTATTGGTGATCTGAGCTTTGATGGTAGTTCCAGAGAACATATTAAGAAATGTTTTTTGGGGCACACTCACAGATTGTGTGGTAATGAGAGACCCCCGAACGAAACATTCCAGGGGCTGTGGTTTTGTGTCTTTGTATTGAAGAGGTGGATGCAGCCACTTGTGCTTGGCCACAAAAGGTCAACGGGCAGGTAGTGGAACCAGAGAGTGCTGTTTTTAGAGAGGATTCTATAAAGCCTGGTGCCCATCTAACAGTGAAGAAGATTTTTTGTTGGTATTAAAGAAGATACAGAAGAATATAATTTGAGAGATTACTTTGAAAAGTATGGCAAGATTGAAACCATAGAAGTTATGGAAGATAGGCAGAGTGGGAAAAAGAGAGGATTTGCTTTTGGAACTTTTGTGTGTGTGTGGCTGGGGATTGAACCCAGGGCCTTGTGCATGCAAGGGAAGTACTCTATCAACTGAGCTAAATCCCCAGCCCAACTTTTGTAACTTTTGATGAGCATGATACAGTTGACAAAATTATTGTTTGGAAATAGCACAGTATTAATGGGCATAATTGTGAAGTGAGAAAGGCCCTTCCTAAACAAGAGATGCAGACTGCTGGATTACAAAGGGGTCATGGAGGTGGATCTGGCAACTTTACGGGTTGTGGAGGAAACTTTGGAGGTGGTGGAGGTAACTTTGGAGATGGTGGAAGTAACTTTGGTGGCGGAAACTTTGGTGGAAAAGGAGGCTGTGGTGATGGAGGTGGTGGCAGCAGAGGTAGTTATGGAGGAGGTGATGGTGGATATAATGAATTTGGAGGTGATGGTGGCAACTAGGACGGTAGTCCTGGTTATTCTAGAAGAGGAGGCTATGGTGGTGGTGGACCAGAGTATGGAACCAAGGTGGTGGATGTGGTGGTAGATATGATGTTTATAATGAAGGAGGAAATTTTGGTGGTGGTAACTATGGTGGTGGTGGGAACTATAATGATTTTGGAAATTACGGTGGACAAAAGAAATCAAATTATGGTCCCATGAAGGGGAGAAGTTTTGGTGAAAGAAGTTCTGGCAGTTCCTGTGATGGTGGTTATGGAGCTAGTGGTGGAAGTGGTGGATATAGTAGCAGAAGGTTTTAAAAACAGGAGAAGAGGGCTACAGTTCTTAGCAGGAGAGAGAGCGAGGAGGAGTTGTCAGGAAAGTTCCAGGTTACTTTGAGACAGTCGTCCCAAATGCATTAAAAGAATTGAAAAGATCTGCCACAGAAGGAATGATAATCCATAGTCAGAAAAGTTACTGTAGCTTAGACAGGAAACCCTTCTTGTTCAGGACTGTCATAGCCACAGTTTGCAAAAAGTGCAGCTATTGATTAATGCAATGCAGTGTTAATTAGATGTACATTCCTGAGGTCTTTTAATCGATTGTAACTTTGCCCTTTTTCATATCAGGTATATTTCCCTATAAATTGTAGTAGTGGTACCAGGAATAAAGAATTAAGGAATTTTTAACTTAAAAAAAAAAAAGACATGCAAATGATCCCTACATAAGAATTCATACCTGAAGGGAAGCAGAGGTTTATATACATGGAGGATTGGAGAAGGAGGTGAGACCATTTCCAGGTCCAGTGTGCTAAAAGACAAGAATGTGATGGTGCTTACATGCTGATTGTAACTGTCAAATTTCATTTAAAATAGGTTCATTTGCTTTTTATAAATTATACTACAATAAAGTTGATTTTTTTAAAAAAAACCTAAAGACAATAACAATAAAGACGAAGAGTGAATAGAATTTGAGCACACACACATGTTATGCTTGGAGTATTTCTTTCTTTCTCTGTCTCTGTCTCTCTCTTTTTTAACCTGATCACACATAATTTATCATCAAATCCAATGAGAAGGGTGTTGTCTTCTTTCCCTATTTCTTACCTTGAAATGCTGAGCCCAAAGTGGGATTTCCCAAGGTCATGTAGCTGGAATAGAGGTCTAGTATCTGACCCCAAAGCCAGTGTTGGCCCCTTCTTTCACTAGAGGCCTCAACCACCAAATGCCTCAAGGCCTGAGAAGTAGAAGGCTGCAGAATTTGCCCTGTGTTTAGGGACAGCCAAACTTCACTCCTGCCAGCTTACCTGTGGAAAAGTAGATGCAAAGACCACCCCTTGTGCATGCCTATAATCTCAGCTGTTTGAAAGGCTGACACAGGAGGATGGCAAGTTCAAAGCCAGCCTGGCCAATTTAGTGAGAACCTGTCTCAAAAAAAATTAAAAAAAAAAAAAAGAAAAAGAAAATAAAACGAAAAATATGGTGGGGAGGTGCAGCAGGAGGCACTGGAGATGTAGCTCAGTGGTAGAAAGTCCCTGGCTTCAATTCCCAGTATAGAAACCAAACAAAACAAAACCATCCCTAACGTTGGGCACAGTGGCAGACTCCTGTAATCCTATAGGCTTGGAAGGCTGAGGCAGGAGGATCACAAGTTCAAAGCCAGCCTCAGCAAAAGTGAGACACTAAGTGACTCAGTAAGAGAAAATAGGGTTGGGGATGTGGCTCAGTGATCGAGTGCCCTGAGTTCAGTCCCTGGTACAAAAAAAAAAAAAAAAAAGAAAAGAAAAATCATCCCTTACTTGGGTTCCTTACTTCGTTTTGCAGAGATGTGTTTTTAATAGTTAGATGCTAAGGGGCTGAGACTGTAGCTCATGGTAAGCGCTTGCTTAGCATGTGTGAGGCGCTGGGTTCAAGTCTCAGCAACACATATAAATAAACGAATGAAATAAAGGTCCATACATCTAAAAAAAATTTAAAAAAATATTTAGATGCAAAGTTGGGTGCCATCCTCTGCTGGCCACTTGCAGCCTGAGATGGCTGTCTGAGGCCCCCTGCTGCAGGCCAGCACAACAGGACCTTCCTGACAGCGAGGTTATGCAGAATATTTAAATGTAGTGAGAAGAGAGTATCATGAAAAAGCCAGGTTGTCAAAGACCAGTGAGAGTCATTGTGAGTGTAAATCAGGACTGATCTTCTGAACCTCACTTCTATTCCTGTCCCCTCTTCTTCAGGATGCCAACGGCTCAGAGGAAAAGCGGAAAAGCGTACTGACCTCAACTACCAAGTGTGGGGTCGAGTTTTCTGAGGCTTCCTTAGCTGCCAAACGATTGCGAGAAGACAGCGGGATGGTACCCCTCATCATCCCAGTATCTGTGCCTGTGCGAGCTGTGGACCCAACTGAGGTAGCCCAGGCTGGAGGTGTAGCCGAGGATGGCAAGGGTTCTGAACAGAACCCCACTGAGCACAAGCCATCAGTCATTGTCACCCGCAGGCGGTCCACCCGCAACCCTGGGATGGATGCTCCAGCTCAGGTATGAGGCTTCTGGATATTGCTTGAGTGCTCCTGGGGGTACAGGACCCTACCTGAAGCAGAGAACATGGCGGTATTGGAGGGCTTCGAGGGACCTGTGGAGATACTGTTTTTGTTTTCTAAGTCAAACTTCTGGACGGTGTACATACAGGGATTTAGATAGCTTCATACGTGAAATTGAAATTGGGAAAATCTAGGATGTGTGAGTTTTGGTTTTTCGTTTTTGCTTCAGATCAGCAAATTTTGACTGGCCCCTACTGTGGGTCAAGGCTCATGCCAAGTTTTGGGATAGAGAGATGTTTGCTTATTCTAAGTATTTTGAAATCTCCCATTAAAATTGAGGTTTTGTTTCTTCTTTTACTTCTGTTATTATTTGTGTGATGTATTTTGATGCAGTATTATTAGGTGCATTCTCATCTAGACATTCTCATCTAGACATCGTTATTATCATGAAAGTTTTATTTTTATCTTTAGTAATATTTTGCCTTTAAAATCTATGTGGACAGCTAGTTTTCTTTTGGTTAGTGTCTACAGGGTGTATCTTTACCTTAATTTCTAATTATTATTATTATTATTGTAGTTGTAGATGCATACCTTTATTTTATTTATTTATCTTTATGTGGTGCTGAGGATTGAACCCAGGGCCTCACACATGCTAGGCAAGCACTCTACCACTGTGCTACAACCCCTACCTTAGTCTTTTCTTTATCCTTGACTTAAGGATAAATTTAGATCTCTTTCTTCATTCAGTATGTTTATTTACTGTCTCCCCACCTTGTTTTTCAAGTAGTATACAATGGGGTTTGTTATTTTCTAGTCTCATAACTTTTGTCCTTTAATTAGAACATAGGTATAGTATAGTATAGTTCCTATTTATTTATTTACCAATAAAGTTGTATATATACTGTATAACATGATGTTTTGATGTAAGTATATATCAAATGGCTAAATCAGGCTAATTATCATATTCATTAGCTCACATACTTATTGTGTTTTTTTTTTATGCTGAGAACATTTAAAATCTACTCTCGTAGCAATTTCCAAGTACATGATGCAGTATTATTAGTGACAGTCACCATGTCGTATAGTAGATCTACTGAATTTACTCCTGCTGTCTGAAGAACTCCTGAAGTTGTTTCCTTTGATCAACATCTCCCCTAAGCCTCAGCCCTTGGTAACCACCATTCTACTGTCTGACACTTTTTTAGCTTGCACTGATAGCTTGCGCTTCCTGTATGTACTGATATATGCGGTTTGTCATCTGCCGTCTACTGTTAGCTTTCTGTTTATCCCTGCCTTTCCTATGCTCTGTTCCTCCCCCAACCTCCCTTGGATTGATCAGGGTTGTTATTCTATTTTTCGGCTTTGTTAATTTGGTATATGCGTAATTATTTCTCTTTTAGTGAAATAATTAGCAGATTTCTTCCCTGAATTTCTTTTTTTTTTAATATTTTTTTTAGTTATAGATGGACACAATATCTTTATTTTGTTTTTTTATTTTTATGTGGTGTTGAGGATCAAACCCAGTGTCTCATACATGCTAGGCAAGCGCTCTGCCACTGAGCCACAACCCCAGCTCTTCCCTGAATTTCTACTGTAGAACTAAGTCCTACAGAAAGGGATTTGATTTTCTCAACTCTGAAGAACAATACATGATGAGTACCATCCTAGATGCTTAGGAGTGATGTTCACTTACAATCTATAGTGAATGCCTTATGACACTGAGGCTTAATTCCCTGATTGAGAACAATACTTGAGATTAAAACCTGTCTGCCACTTTTTTGGTGGATTTCAATAAGTCAAGGATGCTTTTTTTTGGGGGGAGGGTACCTGAGATTGAACTCAGGGCCACTCAACCACTGAGCCACATCCCTAGCCCTATTTTGTATTTTATTAGAGACAGGGTCTCACCGATTTGCTTAGCATCTCGCTACATTGCTGAGGCTGGCTTTGAACTCGCAACAAGGATACTTTTTTAATTACTAGATTTCCATTTGGTTCATTTTTACAGTTTCTAGTTCTGTGATGAAATTCTTGAGCTTACCTTTTATTTTGTTGCAGAAATTTAGTCTAGTCTCCTTTAATTTTATGTCTGATAACGCCATTCATGTTGTTCTGTTTCTATTAATCTTTTATTTCTTCTTTTTACATTCCATCTTGCTTTCTTGTGTATCAGGTTATTTTTTATTGAATGTCAAGTATATGAGTCCATTTTCTGTTGGTATAACAAAATACTTGAAACTGGGCACTTGTAAAGAAAAAAATAAAAGGTTTATTTAGCTCACAGTTTTAGAGGCTTAAAGCCCAAGGTTGGGCAGCCCCATCTGTTCAGCCTCTGGTGAGGGGCTTGACTGCATCACAGCATGATAGATGGCATCATGGTGGAGGCATGTGCAAGAGGAAGAGAGCAGTCCCATAGTGAGATGGGAAGCAAGAGCGATTCAGGGGAAGGCCTGCTCTTTTAGAACAACTTGCACTTAAAAGAACTAACTCATTCTGCAAGACCAGCGTATCTTTTCCAATAGTAATGCTCCTATGGCACAGTTACCTTGCATTAGGCCCTATCTCTTAAAGCTTGCACCTCTTCAACACTGCCACACTGGAGACCAAGCCTCTAGCATATGAACCCTTGAGAGACAAACTATATCCAAACCCTAAACTCAGACATTGTATAAAGAAAATCGTTGAATGTCTGAGAAGCGTGGCTTTATTCCACAAGACTTCCCCTCCCCGCTTTCCCTGTAACGGCTTCTTTCCCAGAGCTAGGTTGGGACTGTGTGAAGGCTGGTTCCAGGAGCTTTGCACCAGCCCCTAATATAAAGCTACTTGTAATACTGGCTTCTTCCCCATGGTCCTAGTACTGGGTATCCTGAACTGATAACTAACTCCAATACATTTTTTTCCCTGTAAAAATTTAAATCTCTTTCTTCATTCAGTATGTTTATTTACTGTCTCCCCACCTTAGACAACATTTTAAAGCCTTCTATAACATCACCCCATCTTCCAGAGCAACTCATCTTTTTTTTTTTAATTTTTAACTTTTTGTTGTTGTAGGTGGACCCAATACCTTTATTTATTTTATTTTTATGAGGCTTGAACCCAGTGCCTCATGTATGCTAGGCAAGCACTCTCCCACTGAGCTACAACACCAGCCCTAGAGTAACTCACTTTTAATGGCCATTTTGTATCATAGATAAAAAACTGACTGCATGGCCAAGTTCTGAACTGACCTGAGAAAAATAATGTGTATGTGTCTGTGTGTCTGTGTCCCACCAATTCCCCCCAAATGTGAATCAATCTCTCCCTCTCCCCAGCCCCCCCCCCCCCAATGTGTTGAAGTAATTAAAAGACTTTGGATAATAATGCTTTCCTCTTCCAAAGACAGGTAGTCTTTGGAAGACAGATAGCAAAGGGCATTAGCAATCCTGAATCATTTTTATTTTATAAGAGATTGAAATGGGATTATTTGAAGCTTGGCTTTTCCAAGACTAGCCTGTTTCTGATTCTCCTTTATTCTGAGACATAGCTATGTGCAGTCCTAATCTGAAGCCTGGATGTTTACGAGGCTCTCCTCCCGTGGCAGGCCCTAAACTCCAGTTTTTATTCTGTTATCTCCTTCTCCTTCTCCTTCTCCTTCTCCTTCTCCTCCTCCTTCTCCTTCTCCTTCTCCTTCTCCTTCTCCTTCTCTCCTTCTCTCCTTCTCCTTCTTCTCCTTCTCTCTCCTTCTCCTTCTCCTTCTCCTTCTTCTTCCTGCAGATTGAACCCAGGGGCACTCAATCACTGGAGCCACATCCCCAGCCCTTTCTAATATTTGATTCAGAGACAGGGTCTCCCTGAGTTGCTTAGGGCCTCGCTAATTTGCTGAGGGCTGGCTTTGAAATCGCCATCTTTTGCCTCAGCCTCCTGAGTTGCTAGGATCACAGGCATGTGTCACTGTGTCTGGCTCTGTTAGCCTTTTTTTTTTTTTTTTTTTAATTGCAGATGGACACAATACCTTTATTTCATTTACTAATTTGTATGTGGTGCTGAGGATGGAACCCAGTGCCTCATACTTGTGAGGCAAGCGTTCTGCCACTGAGCCACAATTCCAGCCCCTCTGTTAGCTTTTTGAATTGAATTTGTTAACAGGTTTGTTCGGTTTCTTAGCCTCTTGGTTGCTTCTTCACTAATGGCATCCACCTGTAGGGAAAAGGCAGCCCTGTTCCTTCATACCTGTGTTAGGCAGGCACTTACTGTTCCCATGTTTAAAAATGAAGATATATAGAGAGAGAATGTGTAATTTCAAGTGGCAAATAAAGGTGATAGATCCCAATCCAATCAGTCCAGTTCCACAGTCTGGACCCTCCACTGCTGTACTCTTCTGCCCTATCACATACTTTACAATACGGGTTAGGAATTATGGCCTGGGGCTAACCCAGAGCTAAGAATGGTTTCCACCGGATTATTTAAAAGAGAGAGGAAGGAAGAAAGAAGAATATGTTAACAGAGACTGCATGTGGCCCACAAAGCCTAAGATATTTACTCTGGGTCCTTTTTCCAGGAGAAGTTTGACCTCTGCTCCAGAGGGGGGACAGTGAGGAAGTCTATTGGATCTGCCCCCCTCTTCAGGCATGCCCTGGGGGATGTGGTGGGTAGACAGTTCTCAAAGTGAGACTGGCAGGCTATGTCAAGGCTTCAGTTTTCCTGTTTTCTTCTCCAGGCTGAGGACCTGAATACCAAGTTGGAGGGGGAGACTTTGGTAAGGAAACCAAAGCAGCGACCCAGGCCGGAGCCCCTGATCATCCCCACCAAGGCGGGCACTTTCATCGCTCCTTCTGTCTACTCCAACATCACCCCATACCAGAGCCACCTGCGCTCTCCTGTCCGCCTGGCTGATCATCCCTCTGAGCGGAGCTTTGAGCTGCCCCCTTACACACCACCCCCCATCCTTAGCCCCGTGCGGGAAGGCTCTGGCCTCTACTTCAATGCCATCATATCAACCAGCAGCATCCCAGCCCCTCCTCCCATCACGCCAAAGAGTGCCCACCGCACCCTGCTCCGGTCTAGTAAGTGACTGTGCTAAATCACCCCCTTGGTGGCCATGCAGTGGGGAATGTTGGGGGAAGGACTCTGGGCAGGGAGGCAGTTCAGCCTATGGGGCTGCTGGGAATTGAGCTGGAGGCTGTGGGAGAAGGGATTTACTCTCTCCTCTGAGAAAGAGAAGGAGGTTGTCCTGTTACATGAACAAGGGGTGGGGGTTGGGGAGTAGGTCATTTCCATGGTTTGGATTCAGTTCCCAGTTCTACCATTGACGATTACAGCTCTTTGTGCAAGTCATTTAAACATCCTGGGTCTTGGGTACTTCTGCATTAAAATGGGAATTAATAGTACTTTGTTAATGATGAAATTGCCAATATTCAGCTGTTTTGGGATCCACCAATAGCAGTTTCTTATGATTCATCCTAATGGCTATCTCCTAGGGTTGTGGTGAGGATCAGATGCGTTAGCATGGGTAAAACCCATGGTTATTGAGTTTGTTTGCAATAATATTTGGAAGATCTGGTCTCCTTTGCTCTTAAGTATTTATTTCTGCCAAGAGTAGACATTTTGGAAAACTTTGGCTGGCCTGCGTGGTGTGTCACTGATAGGTGTATCCTACAGAGGAATCCATTTCCTCTTAAAAAAAAAAAAAAAAGATAATTCTCTCCCTTAGAGTGGGCGGAGAGGATTAAGTGGGAATAGTACCTTGATGCCTTCACCCATTTAACCTGAAATGGATTTCACCCATGGTGTAGCTCTCTGGTGCCCCCTGGTGTCTATGGGTGAGAAGCAGCTTGCCCCACTTCCCCGGGAAGTTTCTCTGCCCCTCTGGGTTTTGCAGAAAGTCACTGTTGAGAGTGCCACAGTCTTGGCAGTCAAGAAGAGGTCAGGTTGTCCACAAGTTTTACAGAGCACTTGGGTGTAAGGCCTTGAACTGGGTCCTGTGATGGTTCCAAGAACGTATGGGACACCATGACCTTAGAGTGCAGGATTATTAGGGAGTTGACATGAAAGCCCAGGAGACAGAAAAGCAGAGGTTTCTGACAGTGTAAGAGCAGCAGCCAGTGAGTGAAGCTGACACTGAGCTCCAGGTCTGCAGAGGCTTGGTAAGGTGAAGAAAGCAATCGGGAGGGGGTGGGGCTAGAGCTGAGCTTGAACTCTGGAGGGGGAGGGGCAGGGAGGGGCACACAAGGCAGAGCAAATGACTGTGGCTAGACTTATGGTGGGGCTGTGCAGAGAGTGAGGGGCCACAAGGTAAGCAGGCTGCTAGAATTGAGGGTCCAGGCAAGGGGCTAATGGGAGATATAGACGGAAGAGAAGCTGCCTTGAGCCCCGCAGAGCTGACGATTACAGGTTTTATTTCATGTTGCATGGTTTTTTGTTTTTTGTTTTTTGCTCGCTCGTGCTCTCTCTGTCTCTCTCTCTCTCTGAGCAAGGGTGTGTTTTGATCCAAAACCTTAAGGAAATTAGCTTGGAAGAAACTGAGGCAGAAAATCCAGAAAGGGAGTGAGAAGATAATTTTAAAGCCGCGATCCTCTTTACCACCTCTCTAGCGTGCCCAAAGTTTCAGCTTCTTTACTAGAAAACCATAGTTTGATGTCGAAGTTACTCTGTAGTGTGGGAGCTCCTGAAAACAGGAACTTGGCATGCATAGTGTGCTAGTAGTAGGGGTAACAATACTAGCTCCTGTTTACTGAGTGCCAGGCTCTCTGCATTGTTTCATTCAATCTTCACCTTAATTCTAGGACATAGAAATAGCCCCTTTTCTGCAGGTGTGCAAAATGAGGTCCCCAAAAGTTTAGTAAAAGGGCCAACTCATCACATTTAGCAGGCTGCACTCAGGACTCAAGGTGCCTGAGTTTGAAGTGAATTCATTGAATCAGTGCTGTGACTCCTTTGTATGCAGGGCAGCCACCCAGGGCTCTGGTGTTTTGCTGAAGGGAAGAGGGCGCCACTTATCAACCTACTCTTTGTCCCATAGACAGCTCTGAAGTCACCCCACCTGTGCTTTCTGTGATGGGGGAGGCCACCCCAGTGAGCATCGAGCCGTAAGTATAGCCCGGCCTTGGGCCCCTGGTGTGAGGGTGGCCAGGTGGGCCCAGTGCATGTAGGGGGGCTCTGGGAGCAAGAGGAGAGTTTGGTGGGATCTCTAGAGGGCCAAGCACCACTTGGGCTTTTGCAATTGGCCCTGGGCTGTTCTCCCCCTGCTTTTGTGTGGAAGTAGCAAAGAAAGGAAGAGTCTAGCTCAGCTTGAGTTTGTTTCTGGAGCGCTGGACAGGAGTCCAGGAGACTCTTCCTGTCTGCCAACATGGAGCAGTTTCTCCCCTTCCGGGCCTCTCTCACTTGCCCTCCTGGTTGTAGCAGGTGCCAGGCTGTCATCACAGTCTACCAGAAACTAGGTTTCCTACACCCAGCTGAAGCCTGGCTGCACTCCATCTCTGTCAGCTGCTGTCTTCTTCCCATCCCCAGGGAGAAAGTCAGGTTCCCTGTTCCCATGTGGTGAGGCCTAACTCCATGCCCTGTTCACCCTGCAGACGGATCAACGTGGGCACCCGGTTCCAAGCGGAAATCCCCTTGATGAGGGACCGTGCCCTGGCAGCTTCAGACCCCCACAAGGCTGACTTGGTGTGGCAGCCCTGGGAGCACCTAGAGAGCAGCCAGGAGAAGCAGAGGCAAGGTGAGGAGGGACCCGGGAGTAAACAGGCTGAGGCAGGTTGGTGGGCAGATAGGCATAGGCCAGGCCTGGTCAGGCCCGGCCCTGAGCATGATTTCCTCTCCTCCTCACCTTCCATGAATCCAGTGGAAGACCTACTGACGGCTGCCTGCTCCAGCATTTTCCCTGGTGCTGGCACTAACCAGGAACTGGCCCTGCATTATCTTCACGAGTCCAAGGGAGATATCCTGGTAAGATATACCATTGGCCCAGGGAGGTCCCTCAGGGAGGTTGGCACGGATCTGAGTCTGCTGCCCAGAGGCAGGGTCTTCTGGAATGCTGATTTGAGGCAAGCAGGAGGCTCTGGTTGAGGAATCAGTGGTAGGGGCTTGGATCAAGGCACCATCATTTCCAAATTCAAGATTTGGGTGTGCAGTCCATCCCAATCCCCTGATTCTAGGCTAGTGGGTTCCCACTGTCAGACAGAACTGTCTCTGAGGGCCTTCTCGATCCTGTTGCCTGCCTTGGGAGCCACAGTTCTCTTAAAAGGTCCTAAGGAGCCCCACCTCCACGACCTTACCACCCTCTCACATCTCTTGCCCCTCCACGGTTAAGGGGGACAAGAATAAGCCCCACCCACGCTTATTCTTATAAAAGACCTCAGGTGGCCTTTTACATTTTTCCAGGCCTAGGATTCTTAGTCCACCACTGAGACTGCCACCAGGGCCCTGACTGTAAACTCACTTCCCTTCCAGGAGACGCTGAATAAGCTGCTATTGAAGAAGCCCCTGCGGCCCCACAACCACCCACTGGCAACTTATCACTACACAGGTGGGCTCCACTGGTTTGGGAGTGTACAAGAGCCTCCAAGGGCTTCCACCTTCCCCGGGGCCCTGCTCAGTGCTGAGTCACTGCCAGGGGTGGGGGCAGGGAAGAGCAGAGAAACGGACACCAAAGCCAGGGTAGTTCTCCAGGGGTTTCCAGAGGGAAGGTTGGAGAGGTTGGGCAGGTGGGAACCCCTCCCAACAAAAAAGCCCAAGTTACTGGTACAAGGGATAGGAACAGGGAGTGTCATCTAACTTGGCTTCAGGTACCTGGAACTTCAATGGCCCTTAGAGCACATGTCTTATTCTGGACATTGTACTTCAAGTGGTACATTGGCCAAATCACGTGACTCTGGCCGCCACTGTTATTGATTCCTGTCAGCGTCACTTTTATCTGCACCAGGCAGAACACTAAGGGTTTCACCTGCATTGTGTCACTTAGTCCTCATCACACCTGGGAAGGTGGATTCTAATGTTATCATTTCACAAGCAAAGGCAGTAGGGCTTCCAGCGACTGGCAGTGAGTGGCCAGCAGGATGGGGAGTCAGTTCTGAATGCCTGCAGAGACCGTATGTGGATGGCCCTTCACTTTTCAGTTGGTTAGAATCAGCCCACAGTGCTCATGGTCCTCCTGCCCACCTTACCCCCAGCTCCCTCTTTGCCCCTCAGGCTCTGACCAGTGGAAGATGGCTGAGAGGAAGCTGTTCAACAAGGGGATTGCCATCTATAAGAAGGATTTCTTTCTAGTGCAGAAGCTGGTAAGCTGGGGCTCTGTCTTAGGGCTGGTGAAGGCCGGGAGCAGCCTACCTGATCTGCCCTTGGGAGCCCTGAGTTGCTGGTGCCCTCTTTAAAAAGTAGTCAGATCAATGCCATTAAGTAGCATTGGAGATAATTTTTATAAACACAAGAAGGAGAGAAGATCTGGCCTTTCTGCTGGTTCCAGTTCTCTTTCCTACATTGGGGTGGTGTGGCGATGCTCTATGGTCTTGGTCCAGAGGGGGCCTGGCATTAGACTTAAAATAGGAGGGAGACCAGATGGGAATGAAGGCTGCAAGCAGAAGTGAGCCATTCCCCCAAGGGAATATGGAAAGGAAGTCACTCTACTGGGAGGGGAACTGAGAACCAGCAAGTGCTTATGTCATTGACCCCGGGTCTTCTACTTCCTGTCTGTCCTAAGGCTTCCTTCCAGTAACTCAGTTGACCATGCCTAGGTTCCCTAGATAATCTGGTTCATGTTCTTCTGGAAGACTAGAGTGCTTTGCTACTCCAAGGAATTGTGTCTTTTCTAGCCCTCTCACAAAATCTGGGTTGTGGGGAGAGTGGGTTGTATGGATTGACAAGGGAAAGGAGCTTCCAGAACTGCACTGTTCCTCCTAGGTTGAGGATCATGTCAGGAATGGCCCTGGGGATTGGACAGAGGGCTGATGAGTTCTATGAGGGCCCTGTTAAAAGGACCTTCATTTACTGTGTTTTCGTAACACTCTGTCCCCTAATTGGGCTATATTGCCAGGAAGCCTGTGCCCTTGAAATTCATTAGCTCCTAATGCCTACTGAAAAGAGCAGATCAACAGTCAAATCAACACAAATGATCAGAGAAAATTGACAGGAGAAGTATTAACAGTCTAATTGATAAATGTGTGACGTAGCCCATTCCTGGGAGCTGAAGCATGTCTGTTTCATCTTTAGGCACAGAGGCCCCCGCTGGCCCCTGGGCTCCCTCTGGACAGGAGCTCCCAGCACAGCAGTGGCTGAATGGTCTGGGATCTTGGGGAATATTAGAGAAAACAGCCCCTATGGGGAAAAGTGGTCTAAAATCCAAACTCAGTGGCCAAATAGTTTATAAAATGAGAGGGTTAGAATTTCAGGGTTTGGGACATTTCTGGAGATTGTCTAGTCTCACCCCATTTACTAATTTACACATGAAAAAATAAATTAGAAAGCTGAGTGACTTGCCTAATGTCCCATTGCTATTTGGTGGCAGAGTTAGGAGCAAGACTTGGATCTTCTGGGGGTTTTTGTTGTTGTTGTTTATAACTTTTTTCAGATTTTCCCACAGCTTTCTGGTTAGTTTACCTCAAGTCCAACCCCCACACAGGACAGTGGGACATTTCTTTACCTCCCTTGTCAGTTGCTGTTCCCTGGAGAGGACTGAAAAAGTTTGCCTGAATTCACGAAGGGGGTCTGTGTTGCCAGATTTGGGCTGGCCTTGGATGTGGATGGTGCCCAGGCTTTTTACAGAAAAAAAATGAAGGAACACTATAATAAACACCCACTAATGTCCCACTTAGATTTATCAGTTGTTAACATTGGCCCCATTTGTTTTCCCTCTCTATGTGTAAATAAACCTACTGCATATATATATATATATATATATATATATATATATATATATATATATATAACTATTAAAATATAAAAATTATCTTCCTTTATCTATTTTTGCTAATCACTAAAAGTAAATTACCCAGCCAGGCATGGTGGTGCACACCTGTAATCCCAGAGATTTGGGAGGCTAAAACAGGAGGATCTCAATTTCAAGGCCAGCCTGGGCAAAGGGCAAGACCCTATCTCCAAACAAATACAGCTTATTTATGGTAAAGAGCCCTGTTGTACAGGGGATTCCCTGTACAAAATTAAAAAAAAAAAATAGTAAGCTATAGGTTATGAATGTCCTGACATAATATTCAGCAGATTTCAGCATGTGTCTCCTGAAAATTATTTTCCAATAAAACCATAGTATATAAATAATCCCAAGGAATTTAAATGGACCTGATACTCTGTAATATACAAGCCATAGTCAGATTCTCCAGTGGTTCCGGTATTGTCTTATAATTTATAGCTTAATTTGTTGGAAATAGTGCTGAAGCATTGGTTAATTGCACTGGTCAGGGGTTTGTTGTAGAGCAGGTACTGGAGGAATGCTTGAATTTCCTGGGTTTAGTTTTTGGCCTAAGGTTAAGGGGGACTTGTAGGTATGAGAAAGACTGGATTCTCTCCAGGCAGGTGAGCCAAACCAGCAGGCTCTGACCTCAATTTTGACTTCAAACAGATCCAGACCAAGACTGTGGCCCAATGTGTGGAGTTCTACTACACCTACAAGAAGCAGGTGAAAATTGGCCGCAACGGGACTCTCACCTTTGGGGACGTGGATACAAGCGATGAGAGATCTGCCCAGGAAGAGGTTGAAGTGGATATTAAGGTGACTCCTTTCCCAGCCTTGGCTGCCTAGAGCCTGACTGGGTCTGGGACCAGGGCTGAACTGGGAGTTTGAGGTCAAGCTCTCTAGGGAGAGAGTAAAGGATGGACAGAGGAAAAAGCAGGGTCCCTGACATCCCCCAGGAGCTAATGTCCCAAGCCCTGGACCTTATGGTTCTCCTCTCTAGACTGCTGGGGTCATATTAATAACACATGGTGTCAATATGGAACACTGAATTTTTCCATGATATTTGCACTAGCAACACAAGCAGACCTCCTACAGTGTTTCCTAAAGTTGAGTCATTCTTGCACCCCCTTAATGATTTCTGCTCTATCTGCATCCTACTATGTGTCACCATTGCTATTTTTGTCATGTCCACATACTACTTGTGCTGTTAGTTAGTGTTTTCTTTGATTCAACTAATTTTTCACTCAAATAAAAGGGAAGCTTTATATCACAATCATAAATAGAAAACCAGTACTGTTTCCCATAAATGGAAGGTACTGGTAAAAATAAACATATATGAAAACCAAATACTTACTGAATTCTAGCTAGATGCTGTGTTACCTGCCAGGGTTCTGAGACCGAGGCCTGAACTCTCTGAATGAGATTATCAAGTCCACAGAGAAGTGTAAAAATGACACATTAATACCAACTGGAGACTTTGTCCTTGACTTAACCAGGATTGAAAGAGAACTGAAAAGGGAATGTCATTTAATTTTGTGTCCATGTATCCACCTGACATCATCTTGGGGTTACAAGTCCACACATGGTGACATGCTATTCTAAGACCAGGAGTGGTTTGGTCCCCATTTTGCAGATGGAAAGGGAGTGGAGATAAAGAAAATGTTACAAAGATAGTTTGGAATTGGAGCTCATGGCTCCTGCCTGGCTCACCAGACCATTGAGTCTAAGGATGTGTCTTCTGGGTGTCTGTTCAGGAGGCCAGATGGCCTGTGGGTACTGGCATGCTCCCTCCCTGCCTCCTGCTCAATCTCAAGTGCTCAGTTTCACCCTGAGGGCTCCCAGGTATCAAGATAACCTTCTTTCCCCAAGCAGACTAGTCACTGGAGGGCTGTGACCTGTGACAGTCCTAGCACAGGGCTAGGCCCGGCCAACAGGACAAGTGGGGACTCGCAATTCAGTGCACTATGGCAGTGTAATTGAGCTCATTCTTGTCCTCCTTAGACTTCCCAGAAATTCCCAAGGGTGCTTCCTCCCAGAAGAGAGTCCCCAAGTGAAGACAGGCTGGAGCCCAAGAGGGAGGTGAAAGAGCCCAGGAAGGAGGGGGAGGAAGAGGTACCAGAGATCCAGGAAAAGGGGGAGCAGGAAGAGGGGCGAGAGCGCAGCCGGCGGGCAGCAGCTGTCAAAGCCACGCAGACACTACAGGCCAATGAGGCGGTAAGTGTGACCTCCACAGCCACTCCCTGAGCCCAAGGCCAGGGGGGCTGGAGCTGGGCCTGGGGGTGTGGGAAGGAGGGCCGAGCAGGAATGCAATGGTAATCCTCATCATCATAATAACAGCCAGTGGGAGAACCACTTTGTGCTGTGTTTTATTTAATTCTTATAACCCTGCATGGTGGGGAATATTATTAATCCTGTTTTACAGATGAGGATGTTGAGATCCAAGAGAATACAGCTAGTAGGTGGCCGGTCTCTGTTCTGCTGTTTATTTTTACGTTATGCTGAGACTTGGGGAAACAGGCTTTGGGTAAACCCTGAAAGTTTGTGGGACACTGAGGAAGTATTCATGAGCGGTAGCTCAGTCAGAGATCCCCCTAGAGAACTCCCCCCTGACAAACATGTCTGCCAGCCCTTCTCTGGTGTTCTCTGCAAAGTGCTTTTATTTCTTTTGTCTTACTAATATCTCACAATAACCCCCATAAAGCCTTGAGCCCCACCCTGCAGACAGGGAAGTCAAATTCAGAGATCCAAGTGACTTGCCTGAGGTCACATTCCAGATCCTTGAACTTCTAGTGCAGTGCTCTGCCCTCCATATCTCAAGCCAAGAGCAAGACATATGGCCAGAGCTGCCCTTGTTGAGAAAGCTCTCCGGAGAAGGGAGAGGGGTGGGGATCTGTTTGTACAACTCTGCATACAGGACACCCATCAACTAAACACGGCTGTTTGCTCCATTCTGAGCTTGTCTCTTCCTGTACCAGGAACTGTGCTGTCTATGCTCTTGAGTTCTACTGACTTTGTGAATACTGTCCTTTGAGGGTCCACCCCAGGCACATATTGTCACTTCTGATGCCCATCTGGGGCTACCCACCCAGGACCCAGAGCAGCAGCACCTTCTCCAGGTCTGCACCACATGTCCTGTGCTGACACCTGTCTTCCCTTTTGTTCTTCCCCTCCCTGTGTTCATTGTTTGCCATGACCTACCTGTTGTCCTCAGCCAGCAAGCTACACACTGTCCCTTCCATTAGCCCAGGCGCTCTCTGAAGGCAGGGGCTCCTGTCAACCTCTAGGTCCCCAGCACCTTGGCACATCATCTGAGCCTGAGTCTCTTTTATGGCATGACGGCATGAGCGCACTAAATGACAGAAACTATGAACACAAGCTTCATTACCAAGATTCCCAGTCAGAAGCATCAAGAAGTTTTTACCAACTGAGGGCTTCCACAAAGGCTGCTGGAATTACCGTGCCAGCAACTTTGTAAATGATAGAGCTAGAGGCCACCCAAGACCCGGTGGGCTCCTGGAGAGATAGTAAGGTCCCTGTCACTGGAGGGATTCAAGTAGGTGCTAGGTGACAATTTGGCAGGAGTATATGACCTTTAAGGGCCTCTGTTCCCTGAGATACCAGAATTATGGATCTGTGCTTCCCCCGAATCACTCAACTCCTTGATTTCTCTCCAGGCCAATGACATTCTTATTCTCCGAAGCCACGAATCCAATGCCCCTGAGTCGGCCGGTGGCCAGGCTTCAGAGAAGCCACGGGAGGGACCAGGGAAGTCACGAAGGGCACTGTCTTTTTCGGAGAGGAAGAAAAAAACAGAGACATTTAATAAGACTCAAAATCAGGAGAACACTTTCCCTTGTAAAAAATGTGGCAGGTAAGATGGACCCGCGGGGACCGGGTGACGATCCGAGGGGGCGGGGCGGAAGTGGATTAGGGGAAGCGGCTGGGAGCCTTCGGCTTGTCTTTTGATTGGCTCAGAGAGTTTCCAGGACAGTGACGTCACCGAGCAGCTTTTCGGGGAGGAGGGGGGAAGCTACTGAGGAGCGGTCCCGCCAAGAGTGGCGTCAGGGGCTGGGACGACACGGGCCGAGTCCGGGAGGCGGGGGCGCCACAGCCCTCTCCCCAGGGTTCGGGGGAGGGACCGTCCCCTTACCTGAGCCCCTCCGCTCCGCAGGGTGTTTTACAAGGTGAAGAGCCGCAGCGCGCACATGAAGAGCCACGCGGAGCAGGAGAAGAAGGCTGCGGCGCTGAGGCTGAGGGAGAAGGAGGCCGCCGCTGCCGCCGCCGCCGCCGCCGCCGCCGCCCCGCACCCGCAGGCGCTGCGAGAAGAGAGCGGTGCGGGCGAGAAGGGCTGAGCGGCCACCCGCCCCTCTCCCAAGGCCCGAGCAGGGAGCGAGGACCGGGTCACGTGGACTTGTATCAACAAAACAAATAAGACAGTGAAATAAATGGCTCTTTCTTTATAAAGGCCCCAGGAGCAGTGGTAAGGGCTGCAGGATCCAGTTCTCTTTGCATTCAGTCTGTCGGAAGTTGTCCTTCTGCTTTCCTGGTTCCTGGAACTGTGAGAGTCCTGGTCCCCGGGGGGCGGCCCCCAGCTGCCTCTCAGATCTCTGCTGCCTCTTTGCTGCTGCACAGCCTCTTCCCTCCTCTTGGCCTCCCCCCTCCTCGGTCTCCTGGAAGCCACCGTGGAGCCAAGCACAAGCTCACCCCCATTGCAGCATTATTTCCCCTCCCCAGAGGTTCTGGAAGGTTGCCTTGCCTCAAGCCCAGATAATGGGACTTACTGGGAGGGAGTGTGGTAGCCTGGCACCTGTGCTGTCCTTGCACAGCCGTGTCCAGGCCTGAGCTGCTCCAGTGACCCTGTCTTCAGGCTACCTCCTCCCCGGAGCGAAGCTGCCGACAGGTACTGTCCCTCTGCTGCTTGCTAGCAGCCCTGCTGGGTCTGCAAAGTTTTCTCAAACATTTGGGAAAGGAGCCAGTGTTCCCTTCCCCTGCTCTCTGCCTGAACTGTCCAGAGGCTGGGAGCTGCAGGGCGAGGCCCCAGGGGACTTCTGACAAGCCTGGCTCTTCGTGCTTTTCTCCTTTTTGCCAAATACTTTGGGGCTCTGGAGGCTGCTGAGGGAGCTTAGCCTCAGGCAGGTCCTGGTGAGGCCCAGCCTGTTCCTCCTTGGTGCCAGCTCCCTGCTTGCCTCTCTCCTGCCCTCAGCAGTTGCCACCTAACCCCACTGCACCCCACCCAGTGTTGATCTCCATAGCCCAGCCCCTAGTCCTGCACTCTGGAGATTTCTGGATCCTTCCCTGGGAGGGGGAGGTCTCCTAACTAGATTGAACAGGAGCCTTCATTCCTTGACTCGGGTCATTTGGGAGCTATTTATTTATTCTTAATATTTAATTTTTGACATCCTCTCAGGGACCAGGGGCCTCATGCATTCCAGAGGCCCAAGTGCATTTATCCCAAAACATGGCACCTTCTTGACATCCCCATCTCCACCCCAAGGCCCTAGGGTTCCTCATCTTGTTGCTTTGGTAGCTCTTGCCAAAAGGAATGATAGTAGCATTGAGAGAGGGTGGAAAAGAGGAGGGTGCCACCAAAGCCACACAGAGACTAGGAGGAGTGAGGGAGATCAAAGGCAGTTCTTGTTGCTGACCCTTCTGTACTTTGAAATTGCCTGAGGGAGCTGGCAGAAGGTCAGAATTCTAGTATTGTTTACCAGGCCTGGATTCTGGCTCAAAGAAGCCATATTTGGCATGGAATCACTGAAGTGAAAAGACCAGAAGGTTCTGGAGGCCCTGTCACTTGCCATTCCCATAGGGGCCTAAGTTAATTTTCTGATCTCATTACCCAACTTTAATTGTGCAAAAGAAATTCCAAATGAATGTGTATAAGACAGATCAACATACTAGGGAGGATCCAAAAAGGATTTATTCTGAGACTCTTCAGGAGATAGGCTAAAGTCATTATTCCAGGAACTTCGAATGAAAGAGGGTTTTAGCTATGCTATCAGGTATTTTTCATATTCATTTGTACTTTAATATGGTTCTATAGAACCCCAGCTATGGGAGTAAGATTCCTGGACAACTACCTAGATCTCCAGCTTCCTTATTAGTTTACTAAAAGTCCCAAGATGGCAAAATCTGGTGTACCCTCTAGAAGCAGGAGGGCAGCAAATTAAGGCTCTCTTCTAAATCACTTCTATAATGAGTGCCTTCACAGCTTAGCCCCAAAGTGCTACCTATGTTTCCCATGGTTTGTTCTCTTTAAACCATACTTGGTTTCAGGCCCCTTTATGAACATGTGATAACAGAAACCTTCAGTCACATGAGACTTATGTTCAGTGGTAACATCTAGTTCTTGGAAATCTCTTTGAATAAGAAAGTGATTCTATTCTAAACTCACAGAAATGAGACCAGGCAAATGTAGCCAGGGAAAATCAAGATGGTATCTCTTGGTATTAATCAGATCAGAGTCCCTACTTTAGGAGGGCACATGCTTCAGTATACATTTGTATCTAGAATGCAGTGTGAAAATTGAAATGTTTAGAGGGCAGATGCAGTTGTGGTGAGTGACCTGTCAATAAAATAGGTGCAAGCATAGAAGCTGGCATAGATATGTATACCGTTAATGGTGCTTTCTCCCTGTGAAAGTGTTAGGCTTGTCTTTTGTTGCTGTTTTTCCCTCCTATTCAGAGCTCTGCTTTAAGAAGTTAAGTGACAAATACCTTCAGCTTTATAAATGTTCCCCCATACCATCTATCTATATCCATCTCCCGGCTTCCATCAGCATTCAGCTAAGGGTGTGAAACTGACCTAGTGCCTGTGTTCCAGACCATTTCTGAGGTCTCTTACCCATCCAAGGAGACAGTGCCATCATTACTGTCCTCCATGCCTTCAGCAGCCCCCTCACAGCTAAGGTACACACCCACCCCTCTGCCACCCAACCTCCACCCCTGGCACAGAGGTCTTGTGCTGCTTATGTTTAAAGGGATTGCCTATATTTAAATGCCTCAGTGACCTAACCTCTTTCTTCTCATGTGCCAGATGTTAAGATGAAGGAGGAATACAACACATACTCAAGCCTCAACTGTTTCAATGTTTTCAATGGGGCTCACTTTTCTGGGATGTTATTTATTACCAGACTGGCAAGCTTAACTCCTTAGGTTTACAGGAAGTATGCATATTTTTATAAAACATTTGTGTCCACCCCATATTTGGCTGTGTTAATATTTGCCTCTAACAATTTGCAGCTAATTCACCTTTTTCCTCATTTGTCTCTAAACTGAAGGCCTTGTTGGAGGGGACAGAGCACAGGAACAGCCTTGACAGTTTGTAATTATTGTAAAAAAAATTTAGTAGCATATAAATAAGTATATTCCTTTTATTTTGAAACAAAAATGATCAGACACTGCCTTTTGTGTGTTTGCTGCCTGTGGCACCCTTTTTTAAAAAGACTGTTACATATTAAAATAGTGTACATATATATATAAATATTACCTCTTTTGCTGTACAGTTGTGATAGACCAGACTGAAGATTTTATTTTTTGTGTGCTTTTTATAAAAAATTAATACACTAAAGAGAATCTTGCTGATGTGATTGTAATGTACCTATGTAACTTATTTACTTTTGAATGTTCTTCTGTATCTTTAAACCTTTTATTAAATAAGGTTTTAAAAATTCAGAGTTGAATGCTGTTTTTTTTAGGGGGATTTTCACCATCTGGGGTTGATGTAAGTAGGCTTGTTTTGTTTAAAGAGACATTACTTGACATTTTTGAGCCATAAAGATTCTGTTTTACCAGCTTATTGTCAAAAAGGCCAGAACAGGAGAAATAACACACTGTTTGCCTGGCTACCGTGCAAGATGATAGCTGAATAGATAGATCGATCTTTTTATAAAAATTTAGACAAGAAGCCTTAAGTTAATGTTTTGTACACCAACATAAAGATGGCATACTATGACGTTTTCGTTTCATTGGGATTAAACGAATACAAAGGATACAGACTGTTGCTAGCGGGTACCTGGAAGCTGGGGTGCTGAAGAGTATTTTTATATACATCAAGCAGCGTGCCTAGGATGAATGAGTAACCTGAGGAGAAAAGTCCACCGTGATGCATGCATTTTTAACATCAGTCGACATCCACTCCAGAATTATTTTTTAAACATGGTGCTTAGCAGTATTTGTTTACTGTAAAAAGAATCTGGAAAATATGAAAAAGGAAATGCGCCATCAGAGAAAAGAATGCTGGAGCCCCTAGCTGGCACCATAGTAACCGTTCGACCTGCCGGAGCGCTCGGGTCTCGCGTCGTCTGGGACACCGTTGCCATGGCTACACTGGCGCGAGCGCCGCCGCGGGGGCGGTAGGGGCGGAGTGCAGAGTGTTAGCTGGCGGGCCCCGCCTTCCACTGCGGCAGTAACGAAGAGGCAGGTTGTGAGAAGGACGCGCCGTCTCCCGCGCTGCGCCAGAGCTGCTGCAGCTGCTGTGGCCCGGGCGCTGGGCCACCTCTGCCCGCCCTCGCCTCCGCTGCCTCCAGTCCCTTTTCTCTGTTGTTCCCGCGCCTTAGCTGCTTCGGTCCCCAGTCCTCGCTGCCCTGAAGGGTCCCCGCACCAGCGAAGCCGCCACTCGCCGGCTGACCCGGCTGCCGTCGCGGATTGTCTCTCCCTCGGTCCGCCGAGGACCCGCTCCTGGTTCACCTGAAGGCCAGGCTTCGACCGCGAACGTCCGATTGACTTCGGAAGCACCTTTGAGCGCCCAGCCGCCGCGGCTGCAGGAGGAGCGGCCACGCCCCGCGAGCACACTCGGCGATTCCCCGCCCTGAAGCTCGTGCCTTCGCCTCCCGCCCTTCCTTCTCGCCTTCTGCACTGCTACGACTCGATGCCCCGGCTGCAGGCTGCGGACCCCAACCCGAGACGCAAGATGGCGACCGCCGCGTGACTGAGCTTCCCGAGACCCAGCTGCGCGGACCCGCCGGCCAACTGACTTTGGGGGCAGGAAAGGGGCGAGAGCAGAACTTTGGTGTCATTTGTTAATTGTGATTGCGTGAAGCTTGTCGCCCTCTGTCCTGCTTGGAGGGTGTGTCGCATTGTTCTAAATCGTAGAGTACGGTGAGCCAGTCTAATCCCTATTTGTATAATTGGCGCCCTTGATAGTTGGGGAAATGGCAATGACACTGTTGGAAGACTGGTGCAGGGGGATGGATGTGAACTCCCAGAGAGCTCTGCTGGTCTGGGGGATCCCAGTAAACTGTGATGAGGCTGAAATCGAAGAGACCCTCCAGGCTGCGATGCCTCAGGTACCCTATCGAGTACTTGGGAGAATGTTCTGGAGGGAAGAAAATGCGAAAGCAGCCTTGTTAGAGCTCACTGGGGCGGTAGATTACGCCGCGATCCCCAGGGAGATGCCAGGTAAAGGAGGAGTTTGGAAAGTGGTCTTTAAGCCCCCCACTTCCGATGCTGAGTTTTTAGAAAGGTTGCACCTCTTTCTAGCTAGAGAGGGGTGGACCGTGCAAGATGTTGCCCGTGTCCTTGGGTTTCAGAATCCTGTTCCCGCCCCAGGTCCAGAAATGCCAGCAGAGATGCTCAACTACATTTTGGATAATGTTATTCAGCCTCTTGTTGAGTCCATATGGTACAAGAAGCTGACTCTGTTCTCGGGGAGGGACATCCCTGGGCCTGGAGAGGAGACCTTTGATCCGTGGCTGGAGCACACTAATGAGGTCATAGAAGAGTGGCAGGTGTCTGATGTAGAAAAGAGGCGGCGGTTGATGGAGAGTCTGAGAGGCCCCGCCGCTGATGTTATTCGCATCCTCAAGACCAACAACCCTGCCATAACCACCGCGGAATGCCTGAAGGCGCTTGAGCAGGTGTTTGGGAGCGTGGAGAGCTCTAGGGATGCGCAGGTCAGATTTCTGAACACTTACCAGAACCCAGGAGAAAAGTTATCTGCTTATGTCATTCGTCTGGAGCCTTTGCTGCAGAAGGTGGTGGAGAAGGGGGCCATTGATAAAGATAACGTGAACCAGGCCCGCCTGGAGCAGGTCATTGCCGGGGCCAACCACAGCGGGGCCATCCGGAGGCAGCTGTGGCTGACAGGGGCTGCGGAAGGGCCAGCCCCTAACCTTTTCCAGTTGCTGGTGCAGATCCGCGAGGAGGAGGCCAAGGAGGAAGAGGAGGAGGCTGAGGCCGCTCTACTGCAGTTAGGCCTGGAGGGGCACTTCTAAGTATCAGGAGAGGGGGCTTTAGTGCAGACCTAGATCACAGCTGCTTTCGTTATACCTGTGCGGTCTTCAGGCGTGTCTCTTGAGTAGTGAAGACTTAGCCTTTTATTTTGTTTTTTTGTTTTTTCCCCCCGGGGGGGGGGGGGGGGGGGGGGGGGGGGGGGGGGGAGTCAGGCCTGCATACCCCTGTAACATCCGTAAAATTGTGCAAGCGAGCACTGTAAGCTGCAGCAATGATACAAGTGGGTCATGCTGGCTAAAACGCCAGAGAAAGGCTTGGACACAATGATTGGTGCAAGCTGTCATCGTGGCATCATCGTCCTTCGTGAAAAAACGTGAACCTGTGACACTTCCTATTGAGATAAATGTGAAATTGCATGTTCAGATGTTTAGTGCAAGGCCTGGCTCACGGGAAGTGTTCAGTAAAAATGTGAACTGTTATATTTGTTACTAATATCGTGACTAGTTTGTGTTTACTGTAAATTGCTCCTGATTTATATTAATGGAACTAAATGCAAATTTATTAGTTGCTATTGCTCAGCTTTACAATGCAGATTTATTTCTTATCTTTTGGCATCAATTTAACTGAAAAGTATTCTGAGACTACAAAATGGGGTGTATGGAAATACTGCAGTTATGGAGCTGTGTAAATCAATTTTTCACAGGATGAGATAAATCGCATGGGGAGGTTGGTATGAGTAACCCATTCCTCCACTTCTGGTCTTTGTTACGAAATAATTCTTGTTCATGCTGATTCTAAGTGTTCAAAATTTGAAGTTATCAAATAGACGTATACAAATAAAAATAATTTAAAAGTTCTATGGACTTCTCATTTTTTGACATGTATAAAAATTTTCAGTGTAACTAAGGTCTCTATAATTTTTTTCTTATGAAGACTTTCCCCTGTCAGAAGTATCTATCTGATCTTAATTTTAATTACTATGTGACCTTAAATAGCATGGTTTTACATGTTTTCTTCAAGGCAAATGTTAGAAGGTTAACATATGTATTAATACAGAATTTAGAAAATTCTGAAATGAGATTTAGGAGGTTATCTGGTAATGTTTTTTTCCTCCATTTTAAAGTCACTTTGCAGTTAAAATTGCTTAACTGAAGAAATAACTTATAATTAAGTCATCATTCGGTGGAAAGTTAATTTTTACAGCAGCCATTTCATATCTAGAAGATATAAAGAGTTGAAAGGCTTAAAAACATACTTGGCTGTAGAGATTCAGTGATTGCAGGTGTATATCCATGAAGTAAAAATACAAATGTTAAGTGTTCTTTTGGGGTTTCTCTTAATAAAAATTTAAAATTATAGCTGATTCACATGTGCATATGTTTGTGCATATGTTCATATGGCATGGGGTTTATAAAGAGTAATATTGATATTTTTCTAGATTTGTCTATAGACTTGTACCTTTATGTTCCACATCACAACCGGTTCCTCTGTGTCATTCCTCCCCTTGCAAACGTCACCCTTTTTATGTCCTCATCCCCCTCAACAGATATGCATGTCTTCACTTCCCCTGACAATCACTTGCCATGTCTCCCCACCCCACCTACCAGACTCAATTTCCCCTACCATCCCGGGCATCACATTTCATTCACACTCGGGGCTCCTCCTCAGTTCTCAAGACATTATGTAGTTCTTCCACAAGAATACTACGCCAGCCTTCCATCCCCCAGCACACATTTCATTTCACACACTTTATACACACATCCTGTTACCATGTGCCAACCAGCCACATTCCCAATCTGTACACACGTACATATAACATTTTTTAAAAGTAAAGGGAGGTTTTTCATTTTTCACCCAATATGTTAGGAGCATTCTATGCTTGTATGTACATTTGGGTTATATACTATTGCTCTTTTTTTTTTTTTGTTTTGTTTTGTTGTTGTTTGGTTGGTTTTTTTGTTTTGTTTTTTTAGTGCTGGGGTTCAAACCCAAGGCCTTACACATTCTAGGCAATTGCAAGTGTACAACCAGCCCTGTGTCTTTTTACAGCTGCAGAATCAATTACATCCTAGGAGGTAAGGTCTGACTCCTTTTATTTAATCATATGTAACAACTGTTTGTGTCTACATGTGCACATGTACATATTTATTGCAATATATAAAAATAAAATGTCAGGATCCTAGATGCCCATCCTTTGTTCTTAAAAAACAACCAGAAATAACTGAGCTGTTTATGCTATGAACTGTAGGCTCAGAAAATTTTAAGAAGGGATAGCAGCAAGAAACATCCTCATTACTTTGGATTAGACAGAGGGAGTGAAAGGAGGGGAGGGGGCCTGGGAAGGAATGATAGAATGAAATGCACATTATTACCCTGTGCATATATGATTACATGACTGTGTAACTCTACTTCATGTACAACCAGAAGAATGATAAATTATACACCAATTATGTATGGTGTGTCAAAATGTGTTGTCATGTATAGCTATTTAGAACAAATTAGAAATTTAAAAATCTTGCATAATCAAAGAACTATGGAATAAGAGGTAGAGACTGTGCCACAGTCTATTCTATGACCAAAATTATATTTTGCCTGATAGCAAAGAATATATGCTGACAAAATGTGTAATGTTACTGATGTTGCTAGTTGTCCTTGCACCTCAAGCTTTACTTTGTGCACTTCTGGAAGTAAGGCAAGGGCAGGAATGGTCAATTGCAGTAGTAATTTGCTCTCCCAGGAAGCACTCTTTCCAGGAACCAAAAAAATTTGAAATGAATAAAGATTTATTAACCTGGGAAAGGAGGTTATCACTGGTACTAAATGACCAGAAAAAAGTTAGGCATGAAGAAATGAGACAGTCACTCTTTCTCTCTCCATTTTCCTCCTTTTATAAGCCACTTCCTGTTCCGCCCACCCATCCACCCAATCCACAGCTGCATGGACTATGTCATCCAAAATCTGAATTTCTTCAGAAGTGAGTATCATGAGAAGTTTACAGTTGCTCTGATTAGCTAAAACTAATGATCACATAACAAAGACACTATTTATAAAATAACACAATTTATTACTATTTTAAAACAAGTCTCACAAAATAACATTCAGAAACTCAAATATTTCTAAATAATTTAACACACAATAAGTTTAGTCATAAAGTCATGCTACAAAACTCCCATGTATAAAAGATTATTACTGGAGTATTAATAGATGTCAAAATGCTCAGAATGGAGTGGCTTCTAGAAGCCAAAGACAGGAATGACGCTCACACTCATAACACATAACCTGGGAGAAGCAGCTGGCTATAAGTAGATTCTCTTTAGCTTCAAATTCACCAGTCTTTTGATAGGAGTGATCCCTTGAGGCAGTAGCACCTCAGAAAAACTTCGCCACAACTTCATTTAGTCAACATCTAAATTAATTTTTAAAAACTAGATGTAGGAAAGATAACTCACAAAGTTTCTATCTGAGCAGAATTACTTGACACATCCTCAGAGGGATGATCTCAGATGTAGCAGACATGGAATATGATGACCCAAGCATGGAAACTGGGAAATCCTGACTGATTACACTGACAGACAGCAACTGCTCATGTGGGCTTAGAACGAGCAAGGGTGAGGTTTGATTCTCTTAACTCTATGTACAGGTTAAGTATTTATCCACCTGTCCTTTGGAAGTACTTTCCACTAACATCCAGTTCATAATTTTAAAGTGCAAATCTATTGAAAAATAGTTTTCTCTCTCCCACCCCCAAGTTAAATTTGCTAGATCATAATTTGGTTGGTTCCCTCTAATCTGCCCAATATGGGATATTAGCTAGAATCCAATTGTGGACTTCAAGTGTTGAGTGAAGTTTTACCAATTTGTCTTAGAAGAAGATTAAGACTCAGTCTAGTTGTTCCTTTCAGTGTCCTTCCTTTACAGTCACTGATTAACAAGTAGGTAGGAATAGAGATATAGATATTTCTAAAAGTTCAGTGTTTTAAAACATATAATTCTTAATTTTTAAAAAATTTCACCTATTTTATAATTTTACAAAAAGAAAGCAGTAAGACATGCTGGAGTAAAGACAAAGGAATGTCACATTAGCTGTGTCTGAAGCAGCACCAACTCTGCTATACTGAATCTTGTTTCATTATTTACAGACACATTAAACAGCCCAAATAAAGAAAGTGTGTGCCAAATTCAAAGGAATGAATTTCTGGTAAGGGATAACTAGCAGTTTAGCAGTTTTCTCCTTTTACCAATACTTAACAATGTATAAGGTCTTAGTGAACTAATGGTCTGACCGCAGTCAGAGAGGCACTAACTACTCATGATCAATGCTTTGACACTTCTCCCCAATTTTTAAAAGCAATTGATTAAATACAACCATCTGAGCTGGCCCTATGCTTTTCCATTTAGTTCTAAGACAAACCCAGGTAGAAGATTCCAACTCTATTTACATATTACCAACTCTGAGAATCAGACAACACTCAAGATTCATTTCTCATGCCTCCTATGCTTTCAGACCACTGGCAAAAAGTTTCAGAAGTACTCATTCAAGTGGAAATTCCCACTCAAGAACCACATTTAAGTGTCTTCTACAACCTTTTCATGTGGAATGGATCCAGTAAACATACCAAGTTATCGACCAGTTATCATGAGCAGGCAGACATTCTTCTGGTCACACTCAAAATCAATGTTTATACAACCCAATTTTCATGATAAATTTTACGTAATATTTTTTCTGTATTTAATGATGGTCATAGTCTGCAAAAATTTGTGCATTAGACAATGATTATATATTTTCTAAAGTATATGCAAAATATTAAACTTTAGAGACAAGTTGGATTCTGTTGATAGTAACAGAGAGGTAGGTTAATAATCACTGACCTTAAAAAGCAAGGATGCTAAGAAATAAAAGCTGAGACCCTGTTGAAAAAAGATAAGCTGAACCTTCCAGCCCTGAGTTTCTAATACTATGTGAAACTTATGAGAATGAGCATTACAAAAATGGAAAACATTACTGGCCATTTCCTCCCACTCATGATTATTAAAAACAGCACATTCTCTCATAAAACAATTCCAGTGGCACATGGCCTTAGAATGAAAAATAAATGGACCCGGGACAAAAAGAACCAGAGCAAAAAGCACTGGTTTTTAACCACAGGAGAATGTCTTCCTACTTTTTGCCCAAGGGCCAGATAGCAAAGTCTGGTGACATCTTTTGTTGCCACAACTGGGAAGGGGGAGCTACTGGCATCTATCCGGGCCAGGGATGCTGAATATCTTCATAATATACAGGATGGCCACCCACAACAATTAATTATATAGGCCAAAATGGAAATAGTGGCAAGGCTGCGAACCTCTGGTTTAAAGAAAGAAACTCTTATGAACAGAACATATTATGTTTCAAGATCTGACAAGGGGTAAGTCATAAGCTTAGAATTAGGGAAGGTAGAAACGTTGAATTCCTTGATAGACTAAAATAAAATTCACTGTGAAAAATTAAAATACTGGACTATTCCAGAGCTCTACCATCATTTAAAGAAATTTAAATGATTCACTAATAGAAGAGCACAGATAGCATCTGTTCCAACTAGGTCAAATATCTAATCTTAGAGGCATTTACTATCAACTAAATTTGCATCAGTAAGGGTTGATTTAAGGAATGATTTGAGAGAATATCCTGAACCTTCATACATCCAAACTTCCATTTTCTAACTGCATGAATTCTGGCTTTAATTCCAGGGAAAGGGATACACAAAAGTCATTGAAAGACTTGAGTAGAACTGAATATGAATTTCGTGTGAAATGGATAAAGCACCTTGCGTTTCTATGATATCTACCAGTGATTGAAAGATGAGGAGATTAAGAGAAAATTAATTCTTGTATTACATAATTCAGAAAAACCAAACACTAAAACTGTAAGCCATTGCATAAATTCAATACAAAGTCATCCATTTTCTATTATGTTCACTTTTGTAGTAACCTTTAGAAAATATACCCATATATAGCAACATGGCTTCCAGATTGCCTACTGAATGAAGTGCAAACTACAAATGAAGAAGATGGTTTTCCCTCTCAGCTTAAAGGCTTTAAACATCACCAAGGAGAATGAAGGTTCAATGTGTCTGGTTCATAAAAGGAATGCCAAAGGCTTTGTATGTATAAGCCAGTCAGGGTAAAGATTTCTTCCAAAAAAATTGAAAGGAAGAGCTAAAAGGAGCTAAAAAAGTGTTAGACTAAGTATTCTTCTTGTTTGGATTTAGAGTTGATTGTCAAAGCAGTGGTCCCTTTTGATCAGACTGATTCTTAAAGAACCAAGTAATTCCTACTTAAATTGTAGCAGTAAATTTCTGAAACCTAGGGCTACTTATTCAATCACTTTTTTAAAAAAAGTGTCTCCCCTCTTTCGATGTGATTTCATGTAAATAAAATCACACAAGTAGATGGGGAAACAAGAATTAACAGTCTCTGATTGAGAGACTTTAGGCACAATTTGGCAGGGGGCCCCTGACTTCTTTTCTGTAATTTATTAGTGATTCAGTCATGGCCTGCTATGGACTTCCTCTGGTTACTGATAATATCTTGCATTTTCCAGAAAAAAAGTTTCTTGAATGACAACTCCTAATTTCTGCATCTAACTATTGCTTTGCAGTTTTGAGGTTAAGTCATCCACAATGCTTCATATAGAAGGCAATCCTCAAACATACTGCCATTTGCCTGGGATCCCATACTGAAACATCTCTTCTCTTTTCCCTCTACAATCACTTACATAATACACTCTACAAGCTGTTTAACCTAGAACTTCTCAAAAAATATATTTGAAATACTAAGCTTCATTTTATTGAGAAATATCAATTCAATATTTAAGTCTGTACCCTTCTAACCATAACAATGGGGTCATTAGACCAAATAATTGGGACAGATTTTGATGTATATCAATGGTCTATATTTAGGCTAGGACTACTGACCACTGCTTTAAACATATAAAGAACTATAAACCAAAAAGTATGCTTAAGGCCAGGCCTACCTGAGTAACATGGCCACATTTCTGGTCAAAGAAGTGATCATGAGAGTCATTTTAACCACTGACCTTGATCACAGAATGACTGATTGTACACAGTAACTCAAGTGGTCATGTATAAAAAGACAACCTAAATTCCAGTTGACAAAGTACACATTTTTGGAAAAGCAAGTAAGTAAATATAACATGAGCTAGAAGGCCTCCAAGATATTAATCTTCCCTTTTTCACCATAGTGTTTCCAACTGGGACTTTGGAGTCTTGGTTCCAGGGCTGTGCTGCAGTTCTGAGAGGAACTCTTCCCATCACCATGCTGCCTTTTAAACCAAAGGCATGATACGTTCATGTTGTAAGGAGATGGACCTTCTACAGATTCAAAAGTGTATCTTTTAAAATGCCCAGTCTAAAAATAGTAAACTAATTGAATAAAGAACATTTGTTCCTTTGCTATTAGAAATGACTGGTCTACAAATATCAGTAGATGGGGCCACGTAATATATAATTGGGACTGAAGACAAAGATGGAAAATTTGTAATTTTGAAAACAAGAACTAGACTATACAAAGTTGGTGTCATGGTTTGGGGAAGCAACACCAAATAGGTTTTTAAAAGGATGGAGGGGAGAGATTTGTTTTATCTTAGGAACTTTTTGCCCCACACAGAATCTTTAAAATAGACAATTATACAAAACTTATCTATTGTTCTCATTACATTTAAATAAGTTAACACTATGTGGAAAATATGGCATTAATTTTCTTCTTCCTCATCCCCTTTAATTACTGGAGTACCTAAAATGAAAAGAAAATTATTTCTGGTCATTTTCAACAGATTGTTAATATTCTAAATGAAAATATTTTCCTAAGGAAGTCTGAGATGTTATGAAATGTGCCATAATAAAAATAATTTTATAAAATAATCTCTTAAGGGTTGGGGCTGAGGCTCGGTGGTAGAGTGCTCGCCTAGCATGCATGAAGCACTGGGCTTGATCCTCAGCACCACATAAAAATAAAATTGAGATATTGTGTCCACCTAAAACTAAAAAATATTTTTAAAAAGATCACTTAAGTTTCAAATTCTCTAAAAAGGCTTTCAGAAGAATCCACAAGTGGATTAATATAAATATTTATGAATATTTGGTGCCCCAAATGCAGAGTTGCAAATAAAAATGACTACAAGTGTGTGTGTGTGTGTGTATGTATGTGTGTTGGGGATCACGAATAAGAATGTGTACATGCTAAGTACATACTCTACCACTGAGCTTTTTCTTTTAAATTTCTTTTTAAATTTAATAATATTTATTCACACAAATATAGCATAAACAGAGTCATAAAACTAATTATTATACTCACCACCCAATTTAGGAAATAAAACATTACTAGTATCTTAGAAGTCTTTCAGCTTCTTTCTGATTATTCCTGTATCTCCCTACAAGAGGTAATCTATTACCTTTTATATTTTACCCCTAGGTATGCATCTAGATGGGAAAAAAGAACATTCGATATGGTTCTTTTTATATAAAACTCTAGAAAACATAAACTGATCTAAAGGGACATGAAGCAGGTCAGTGAGTGCCTTGGGAGGGGTGATGGTAAGGAATAGGAGTGAAGGATTACAAAGAGGCACAAAGAAACTTTTGAGGCTAAGCCACATGTTCATTATGTAAAGTATCGTGATGGTTCCATAGATGTATATACAAAAAACTTATCAAATTGTATACTTTTCCTTGACTGTCTTTCTAGAGATTCTAAAGTGTCTTTCCACTGGGATGCAGCTCCATTTAAGAGCAACTGCTACAGTAAGTTGGGGTGAATAAAATGTTTTGAGTACTGGGCATTAGATATATTAGATTAATATATTAGATATATTAGATATAGTCATGGGGGGGATGAAGACAAAACGGGATTGAAAGGATGGAACACAGAGAAGTTGGGTGGTGAGGAGGTGAGAAGGGATAATGGATAATGAAGCCTGAAGCACAGACAACTAGGTCCTTTGTTTGGGTTGTGACTCTCAGGAAGCTCATAGTAAAGACAAAGGCAAATATGCCTTTGACACATAGTATGATAATGATGGTTAGCATCACCACCACCAGCACTGTGTCTTGGATATTACTTAGTCTTTTATTCTCAGTATTTCCTTTTCATCCACATAACCAGACAGGCTAGTCAGCTCTGTGTATTACTGTTCATGGGGAGTATGGAGAGCAGAAAAAAATGCACTGTTTTTGTCTTTGAAAAGCTTCAGAAGACATTGAGAAGATATTATTTGTGAGAGGATACAGAATAATGTGGATAAGGAGCGGGATGATGATTTTTCCCAAACATCTGAGGATGGCAGAAGAGAGGGAGGTCTTGAGGTTATGGAACCGTAGGAATCTCAGCCCTGCTTCCTAACAGCACCTCTGGGAGGAGATAAACCCAGAAGGGATTGTCTGTTTTATCTCAGGAGGTAATCCTATGGCCACAAAGATTTCATTCTCAAAAAGACACTTTCTTTTTTTTAAATTTTTTTTTTAGTTGTAGTTGGACATTTATTTATTTTTATGTGGTGCTGAGGATCAAATGCCTCACACGTGCTAGACAAGCACTCTATTGCTGAGCCCTAAACCTAGCCCCCAAAAAGGCACTTTCTTTTTTTCTTTTAATATTTATTTTTTAGTTGTAATTGGACACAACACCTTTATTTATTTATTTTTATGTGATGCTGAGGATCGAACCCAGGGCCTTGGGCTTGCTAGGTGAGTGCTCTACCGCTAAGCCACAACCCCAGCCCAAAAATGTCACTTTCTTAACCCAAGTGGAGCATAGATGAGGCAGGGAGCAGGCAGGATGAGTTCTGAAAGGGCCCCGGGAATGGGGACAATAGATACCTTGGTAGTAACCTTAGCGGACAGTTTACCTATGACCATGCTTCACATGACCTGTTTCTATAATGATGGCATAATTCAGAGACCTTAAGAATGACTGACAGACTAAATTTCTGAACAGTCTAGCTAAAGTGAATTGGGGAGGAGATGTTCAAAGTCAAAATGAAGTCCATATAAACTAAAATATTTCTCATATATTTGAATTTTGGCATTATTAAATCTTTTAAAAGTGATAATACTAATAATTTTTGAATACTACTTTGTGCTAAGCACAATGTTAAAAATTGATTATTTAATTTAATCATCATTATAACACTGTGATATATACTCTAAAATGATTACTAGTGGTATTATTACCATTCTCCAGTTTTTATATAATAAATGAACAAGGTTTAGTGAGATTCATTAATGAGTACAATGTCACAAAAACTATTAAGTGGTGAAGCTTGGACTTGACCCAGTCAGTCAGGGGTATCTACTAATATTAACATGGATCTTAGAGACTAGAAACTAAAATTGGGCAGTGGTGAGGGGGTAAGAGAGAACATTAAAGTTTTGACCCAACTATGAAAAATAGCTCAACTATTTATCATTTATGTCTAATTATTCCACAAAATAATACTTTTGTAACTTGAGAATAAGCTTAGCTTACTTATATGCTTTTAATCTAAGGATGATCTCATACCATGTAAATATCCTAGGAGTTTTTCATCTCACCCTGACCTAAAACTGGACCACTAAATTTCATATGGACGGGCTGGGGATGTGGCTCAAGCGGTAGCGCGCTCGCCTGGCATGCGTGCGACCCGGGTTTGATCCTCAGCACCACATACAAACAAAGATGTTGTGTCCGCCAAGAACTAAAAAAATAAATATTAAAAATTCTCTCTCTCTCTCTCTCTCTCTCTCCTCTCTCACTCTCTCTTTAAAAAAAAAAAATTTCATATGGACACAAAGTATTGAAGATTAGGGATGACCTTTCATCTTCTTTTTTGTGATACTGGAGGGATTGAACCCAGGGGTCTACCACTGAGCTACATCCCCAGTCCTTTTTGTTTTGAAGTAGGGTCTGACTAAATTGGCCAGGCTGGTCTCAAACTTTCAATCCCCTGCCTTAATCTCTTGTCTAACTTATAGGATTACAGGTGTGCACCATCAGGCCTGGCTGACAACCTAACATTTTCTTTAGTTTTCCTCCTTGTCATGGTCCCATAGCAAAAATTCCATTTTTATACCTATAAAGCATTTCCAAGCCAGCCCAGGATCACTCACCATCCAGCTTTTTCAGTCTGGGCACTCTCTTGGTTGCCTCTTCAATCCAGTTGCCCTCAGCAGAATGCTTTTCTTCCAAGGGATTGCCTACAAACACCAGGTCTTCAAGGCAGGGCAGTTCCGCCAGCTTCACAAATTCAGCTACAAGTACAAAGCACACTTTCCTTATTAAAAGGGTTAAGTTTTACTGTTTTAATTTTGATGATTGAACTTCAAATCACTAAACCTAAATTTGTGACTATTCAGGATAGTCAGTTGTTTAAGATTTTGAAAAAGATTAGGGAAATTTTACTATAATGAAGTTATTCTCTGAGGACATTATGGGATGGGAAAGAAGAAGACCTTCTATCTTTAATGCTAGCCTAAGGGTGAGACAAGAAGAAGAGATGAGGATCAGAGTTGGAAAAAAAAATAACAAGTTGATCTCATGACAGTCTTGTTTAAGCTGTGCTGAATCAATGTAGGCCAAGCTAAACTGCTTTCTATCTCTACCCATTCCTCATCTTTGAATTATTAAAGCAACTAATTCAAATCTTTACTGCAGAATTTATTATAGTTTTATAATTATTAGCTTATAAATAAATTTTCCCCACTAAGCTGTAAACTCCTTGAGGGAAGAGGTGAATGAATGTCCTATTCAACCATGCCTGTTGAGTCTGGCATGATTCATGGACTATAATAATATAACAGAGCTTTATCACATGCTGAATGAATAGTGTGAGATAAAAAAGCAAAGCAAGATAGTCTTCTACTCAAGCAGTCAGTCTTCTACCCAAGAATTATTTAAATTGATTCCTTCAGCCCTTGGATAACATTTTTTTCATGATTAATAGGACCAGAATCTTCCCAATTATATTCACTCTAAGTAAATATTTAAATAGATATTTTTGCCTTTAAAATTTAGGAATTCCAATAGCTATTTCCTATATAAGAACTTCTATAATTATTTCTATGCTTAGAAATAAATATTCCCATTTTGCTTCTTTTCCCTATTGAGTATTTTCTATAAAGTTAACGAAGAGTTGCTCTCAGCTTACCCCATTCTTTCACCAGGTTATTAGACATATAGAGAATCTTCAATTTCTTCATTACATGGATTCCTTTCAACTTCTCAATAAAATTATAGGAGATCCACAATTCCTCTAATGTCTCTCCTACTGCTTCCTGAAAAAGAAAGCAATCTGATTTACATGTTTATTTTTAGCCTTTTTTCCAACCTCTTTCCTTAAAAACAGATAACAGCTTTCAAAGAACACTAAGACCTGCCTGTCCACCTGTCCCCACGTGTCCACTTATAGGAGAGCTGCGCACTGATTCTTATATGGAAGTTCTTTTTTATTGAGGGAATGAAGCAGAACATTCTCTTCCCTTCTTCAAACTGATTTGAACTCTTCCTTCTGATTGCTTCATTGAGCAAAAACTTACAAAATATTCTTTACCAAGAATAGTTTACTGAAATCACCAAAATGAGGAATAATGGCAATATGATCACTTTTATTGAATAATATAGTTTCACATTACTTTCCTATAGATTAATTTGGTTCTTATAACATTCAAAGGAGACAAGGCAAATTATTTGATTTCTATCATGTCTTTTTCTAAGATTATACTGATATTAAGTAATACATTTAGCTCTAAACTTCAGGGTTTTTTCAACATTTTTATGAAAAATTATAAACAAAAAGTTGAAAGAATTTTATATTAAATGCCCACATATTCATTTCTACCTATCCACTATAAGCAATTTGCTAAACTTGTCCTATCAAATCTATCCATCTATCAATTCATTTTATTTATTTGGTATATAAAATTCAGCTTTAAACTCTTGCTCTTACTATTTATAGTATAAAGATTATATCACATAAACATATATTGTTGAAAAGATGGCTTCTTCAACAAATGGTGCTGGAAAAACTAGAAATCCATATGTAGCAAAATGAAATTAAACTCCTATCTCTCACCCTATACAAAACTCAAAATGGATCAAGGACCTCAGCATTAGCCCGGAGACCCTGTGCTTACTAGAAGAAAAAGCAGGCCCAACTCTCCATCATGTTAGCTTAGGAACCAATTTCCTCAACAAGACTACTAAAGTGCAAGAAGTAAAATCAAGAATCGATAAATGGTATGGTATGAAACTAAAAAGCTTCTTCACAACAAAGAAAACAATCAAGAATGTGAAGAGAGGGCCTACAGAATAGGAGGAAATCTTTGCCACCTAAACCTCAGAGCATTAATCTCCAAGATATACAAAAAAAATCTCAAATAACAAAACAAAATAAAACACCAATCAATAAATAAATGGGCAAATGAACTGAACAGACACTTCACAGAAGAAATACAGTCAACAAATATATGAAAAAATGTTTAATATCTCTAGCAATTAGAGATACGCAAATCAAAACTAACTGAAATTTCATCTCACTCCAGTCAGAATGGCAATTATCAAGAATACAAGTAACAATAAATGTTGGCCAGGATGTGGGGAAAAAGGTACACTCATACGTTGCTGGTGAGACTGCAAATTTGTGCTCAAAAAACCCCCAAAAAACAAAAAACTGGAAATAATCTAAATGCCCAGTAGTAAAGAAATACAGATATGTAGCATGTAGTAATGTTTCAGATAATGACAAACCATGCATGACAGTATATATCATATAGTTTAAGTAGGCTATACCATCTAGGTTTGTATACATATACTTTATGATATTTGCACAACCTAGCTGCATTTTTTAGAGCATATCCCCATCATTAAGTGATAAAGGACATTTTTGTATACTAATACTGTGGAAAAATATACAACTATTTAAAAGTATTCATTAAATATGCATGTATTGACATGGAAGAATATTCCTGATATATTATTGAATAAAAAGCATAATTACAGAAAAACATACCTTGTATGCTAGTAGTACAAACAATATAATGTATATATACACACACATACGTACATGCACATACAAATATGTATTTACTTTTCTGTGTTCAGAAAAAAGTTAAAGCCTACAAAACAATTTCATTCCTATTATCTCATAGACCTGGAGGGGGTGGTAGGGAAGTTCAAGAAGAATGACTTCCACATTATATTTAATATATTTATAAATTGTTTATTTTTATAATGAACATATCACTTTTATATTAAGATTTAAACTTAAGTACTAGTTTGTATAATTATAATAAAACTTGAGCCAATAAATATTTATAGAGTGTCTATTACATATATCACGCACTATTATAGATGCTGATGAACAAAACTGATATGTTCATTGGGGGTGCAGTATATATAAGAGGGATAAAAAAAAGAGAGAGAACAAAGAATTTCAGATTAATTAATTATAAAAAAAATAAATTTTAAGACCTAAGACTGCTTTAGATATAGGGAGGTGGAGTGGCTAGGTCACCTGTAAGGAGGTGACATCTGAGTTGAGAAATTAAGGTTAAGAAGGAGCCAAAATAGTGGAAATCCATACTAACAGTTTTTAAGGCAAAGGGAACAGCAAGCACAAAGGTCCCCAGATAGGAATGGACTCCTCAGGGTCAAGGAAGTGAAATAAGGCCTGTGGCTATAGATTAATAATAGAAGAGCCCTATGAAATAAGACCGGAAAGGAAAGCATAGGTCAGATCATACATATAAATGGGCTTATAATGTGTCTTAATAGTCAGTTTTCCTAAGTAGTCTGAAATGAATAACTTTCTTTTAATTTAAAATTTCACATTTTATAATCATTTGTAGTTTACTGATTCAGCTATCAAAAAAATGTGTCTGGATGAATAATTCAACTAAGTATGTGAACCTATTTTGAGTCTCGCTTCTGTATCCCTGTGCAGTTTATTTCTCTTTAGTTTACATATAAGTGTTAAAGGTTTTGGACACACACACACACACACACACACACACACACGCACGCACGCACGCATACCTCTCAAACATGTCTGATACATCCTGGAAACAGAACCAACAATCGGGTGTTATGAAGGCTCAGACAATGGAGAAAAAATAAATATCCTTAAATTTATAAGTATACTTAAAAAAAACAAACCATTTTATTTTTATAGATCATTTAGAATTTTGCTTATCAATCCAATTAGATAGCAAACAATTCAGCTGTTGGTTATTGTTTGGGGGAAGAAATTTCTTTTATTTAATTCCAGAATCTAATCCTGAAGAATTTCTGAGCATTTTATAAATTACTGGTAACACTTTATGTGGATAAACAGACACACAGAGTGGGGATATAATTCAGAGAATGGCTAATAAATCCAAGAAAATTCCAAAATTGCACCTCTGAAAACTGACTGCTATTCGGGTGGTAAACTGTTTCTGCAGGGGGATGGCCACTTTGGCCTGATTTTGAGAGATTATTGATGGGAAGCACTGCAGTTTCAACCTGCTGCTGTCCCTTATGAAGCACAAGCTAGACTTACTGGGGGACATGAAGACAGGAGTCAAAAAATTTTCAGAATGTTTATGAATTATTTAGTAATAAACACTTTTCTAAAAGTATTACCCTTTGGGGAACAGATACAAGAAAAAGAAATAAGCTTCATCTTTCCTAAAATTGCCTATTTTCATAATACTGTTTCATCTATTCTTCTTTGGAAGGAAGTTGAAATAATCAGTAAATAAAAAAATAAGGGCTGGGATATAGCTCAGTTGGTAGAGTGCTTGCCTCACATGCTCAAAGCACTGGGTTCAATCCTCAGCACCACAAACACTAAATAAATAAATAATAAATAAATAATTAGCATATTGTAGTAAAAAAAAAAATTTTTAAATGCCTAAGGTTGGTATGGGGAAATGGAAAACCTCAAACATTACTGGTAGGAATATAAACTGTTTCAAACTTTACAAAGGGCAACTTGATATATATCACAAAAGCCTTAAAAGAAATTCGTATCTTTTGACCCAGCAATTCCATTTCAAAGAATTTATTGAATTATTCATGAATGTGTACATTAATATAGCTAAAAGAAAATTCATAACAGGAATGATTATAACAACTCCAAACTAGAAATGAACTACACAATTAATAAGTAACTGACTTAAATAAATTATGATACATCAATAAGATAGAATATTAGGCTATTGTTAAAAAACGGTATGACTGGGCTGGGGTATAGCTAAGTGGTACAGCATTTGCCTAACATGTGCAAGGTCCTGGGTTTGATCCCAGCACGACAAAAAAGTTAAAAATATAAAAGGGGGTATGATTAAATTTATTTTAAAAACTTAAGTTGCATTCTCTAATTAAAAATCTCCAATGGAAGTCAGGCATGGTGCTGCATACCTGTAATTCAAGCTATTTAGGAGGCTAAGGCAGAGGTATTCCAAGTTTGGCCAACTTCAGCAACTTAGAGACACCTTGTCTCAAAAACTAAAAAAAAGCCAGGAATGTAGCTGGCTCAATCTCCAGGACTGCATAAAATAAAAATAAAAACAGAAACCTCTACTGACTTTGCAAGACACTTGGGGAAAATAAAATAAAATAAAATAAAATCTTATCTCTGTTGGCCTGGTCCCTGGTTCCTTCACCAATGTCATTGAGGACCACCCTCCTTCCTCAATCAACTCTTCTGGCTCCTACTCAAGGATACCAGGTCTAAGACGTTTTCACCTGCTGTCCCCTCAGCCTGGTGCTCTTGCTCCTTGGTCAGCTCTGTAGCTTTATAGTCTACATCTCACTTCCACAGAGAGAATTTGCATCATTCTATCTTCTCTTATGCCTCGTTTTTCTTCATTCATCACCACCTGATGCATTATACAATTATCTTTTTATATATCTCTCTCTCTCTCTCTCGCATATAATCTAAGTTCTATGAGAGCAAGGACTATTTTATATTCTGCTGTCTCTCTAGTGCCTCAATCAATGCCTAGCTTCAAGTAGGCATTCAAGAAATATTTTGAATGAATTTGCTGAACAAATGACATGGCAAAGTGAATTTTACAAATTAAGTTAAAAAGGAGGTGCAAAACAATATGTATTGTATGATTTCATAATCTACATACCCACTGAAGAACAGAAAAAAGGTAAAAAGCAAAAGATGTCAGCAGTGTTTAAATTGTCAGTGGTTTATATTTTTAACTTGCTTTTTTACTCTGCAAAGCTTCTGCAATGAACATTTTTTAATTAAAAAAAGTTTGTACCTTTTAAAAAATGTTAGATAACAACCTACCAGTCCATTTAAGTTCTTTATGTTGTTTCTTCCTAGAGACAATATCCTCAAGTTTTCTGTAGTGGAAAGAAAGAAAGCATTTTGTTTACGAGAATCATATAATTGTTGTAAATCTAGTATAAAAAAGCTTTAATAAGTTTTATGTAACAAATAACCTTATTTGATGAGCAAAAAAAAATAGGTAATCAAAGTAGTAAATAACATTGATTTATCTAAGATAAGCACTGTAATAACCATAACCCCACATCATGTCAATATTAAATTAAAACTGATTGGGTATCTGGAATGCCTGGCTAGTAAAATGTTAAAATGTTACAGGGATAAGAGTAAAGAAGATGTTAACTTTTATTTGGGGAGCATGTATGTTTCAAATATGTTTAAATATATAGTATCAGAAGTCACACTGGAAAATAGAAATATATTATTTATATAGTTCCCTCTTACTAGCTGGTTATGGTGGTGCACGCCTGTGATGTCAGTTACTTGAGAGGCTGAGGCAGGAGGATCCCAAGTTCAAGGCCAGTCTGGGCAACTTAGTAAGACCCTGTCTCAAAATAAAATAAAAAAGGTTGGGGATGTTGCTTAGTGGTAGAGTGCCTAGGGCTCAAACCATAGTACTACAAAAAGAGAAAAGAAAAGAAAAAGTTACCCTTTACTCTGTGAAGTATTATAAGAGAAATGAAATAAATTTAGCATTTAAAAATGTTTTGTTTTTCAATATTTTAAATAATTACATTGTGATTTGATTAAAAAGAAAATGCCTGTTTTTAATTTTTAAAAGGATATTTCTGTTTTTGGTTTTGGTTTTTTGTATAATTATCTGGAAAAGAAAATAGAAAATAGAAATAGTGGTTGACTTTAGGAAGGAGCTCAGAGTCTGTGGTCAGAAAAATAATTTTTTAAAAAAAGTTTTTTCGTAATTGTAGATGGACAGAATGCCTTTATTTTATTTGTTTATTTTTATGTGATGATAAGGCTTGAGCCCAGTGCCTCACACATGCCAGGCAAGCAGTCTGCCTCTGAGCTACAGCCCCAGGCCAAAACTTACTTTTCATTGTATTAGTGTAATCTTTTTTGAATCATTTGAATAAAAACATATGTGTACATTATTTTTCCAAATTAAAAAAATAAGACTTCTAGTAAAATATAGGAAACCTCACTTCTATTTCAAGAAACTACTGTGATTATTTTTGTATAAGTAATATATTTAGTTTTCACAAATTGAACTTCTATGATTGGGCTGGGGTTGTGGCTCAGAGGCAGAGTGCTTGCCTATCATGTGTGAGGCACTGGGTTCAATTCTCAGCACCACATATAAATAAACGAAAAATAAGGGTATATCAACAACTAAAAAATATTTAAAAAATAAAACTTCTGTGACTATCTAATGTAGTAGTCACAAGATAAATATGGCTATTTAATTTAAATTAATTAAAGTTAAAATTTAATTAAAATTTTAGTTTCTTAGTCACACCAGCCAAGTGCTTAATAGCTATAAGTGGCTAGTAACAAATTTACTGGGACATTGCAGATGGTTCTGGTGGATATACTATTTTGTAATGTACATAATTCAATGGTGAGAACACAGATTGAATTATCTTGCAATTCTCTAGGTAAGCAAACTTCTTTGAATCTCAGTCTTATCAAATATATAAGAATGTAAGTATAATAATAACATAAATGTTAAATGAGACAATTATTTAAAACATTCAGTAAGTTCCTAATCTATGGCACATATACAAAAAATAATGTGGTGTGTCAGGCACATATAACTTTGGTTTTAATTTATTTAACTTAATAAATTATTTTCAATTCTCTTGAGAATCATTGAGCTTTCAAAACAAGGTATTTTAAGAACGATCTAATTCATAAAAAATGGCTTAACCACTGAAATAAGACACCATGTTATGGACTAAATTGTATTTTCCTTAAAATTCATGTTTATATCCTAACTCCCAGTTATCTTAGAATGTATTTGGAGATAGGACCTATAAGGAGCTAATTGAGATAAAATGAGTTCATACAGGTATCCCAGTCCAATATAAAGGAAGCTTTTATAAGAAGAAAAAACTGGGTCAAATATATAGAGGAAAACCATGTAAAGGGAGAAGCCAAGCCAACAGTCTTCTACAAGCCAAAGACAGAGGTGTCAGAAGATATTAATTCTGTTGAAAATTGATCTCAGACTTCTAGCCTCCAGAATTAAGAAAAAATAAATTTCTGTTGTTTAAGCCACACAGTCTCTGGGATTTTGTATTGGAAGCTTTCACAAACTAATATACCCCATGTAATTATGAATAACACATTATTCCTTAAAGCTCTTTGATACAGAAAAATGAAGACTTTCTCTTTAGCTATTTCATGAAGAATCAAAAGCATATTAAGGGCTGGGGATATAGCTAAGTAGTAGCATACTTGTCTAGCATTCACAAGGTTCTATCCCCAGCACAATAAAAAAATAAGAAGAAGAAAAAGAAAAAGGTTATTCAAAAATTTATTCATTCAACACATAGTTATCAAACTATTTTCCAGGAACAATAATAAGCACTCATAATATTACAGTGAGTAATAAAGATAAAAATTCCTACTGTCCTGAAGCTAATGTTGGGCAGACAATAAATTGAGTAAGTGTATAAGGTATGACCAGTATGAAGGAAAAAAAGAGATATGCAGATAAAAGGAATGAAATATAAGGTGTTGGGAGAGGTTGATATTTTAGATAGAAAGTCACTTCTAAACAAATACTCAAAGGCAGTGAAATAGCTAGAGAACTTTAAGTGCAAAGGCTTTGTAAGCAGAACCACATCCAAACTGTTCACAAAACACAAGAAGTTACCTGAGAGAATACAGGAAGAGAGTAACAGAACATAAAATTATAGAAATAATAAGCCGTAGAAGGGATATAAAAGAGTAAAAAAATTATCACTGGGTGCAGTGGTGCTCGCCTATAATCCCAGAGGCTCACGTTAAAGTATGAGATATCTATTAGACATACAGTGGAATTCAGACACTGAATGTGTGAACCTGGAGTATGAGAAGACCTCAGGGGTAGATATTTAAATTTGGGAGCCATCTGCATATATGTGGTAAAGCCATGACCCTGGATGAGATAATCTGAGGAACAAGTGAAGAGAACAAAGAGAAAAGATGCAAGAACTGAGTTTTGACAGCACTCCAATATTTAAAAGCTGGGGACACAAAACCGGGCTGTCAGAAAGAGAGGAGAAAACCAGAAGAATATGGTACAATAGAAACCTAATACTGAAAGTGCTCCAAAGAGGAAAAAGAGCCCTGGTACAGTGGCACACACCTGTAATCCCAGTGGCTCGGGAGGCTGAGGCAGGAGGATCGCAAGTTCAAAGTCAGCCTTAGCAATTTAGTGAGGCCCTAAGCAACTGGCAGATGGCACCTAGGGTTCTGGCTCAGCAATAGAGTGCTCACCTAACACATGTGAGGCCGGGGTTCGATCCTCAGCACCACATAAAAATAAATAAATAAAATAGGGCTGGGGATGTGGCTCAAGCGGTAGCGCGCTCGCCTGGCATGCCTGCGACCCGGGTTCAATCCTCAGCACCACATACCAACAAAGATGATGTGTCCACCGAGAACTAATAAATAAATAAATATTTAAAAAAAAATAAATAAAGGTATTATGTCCAACTATAACAAAAAAATATTTAAAAATACACTGGGGGGGGTGCTGTAGCTCAGTGGCAGAGTGCTTGCCTAGCATGTGTGAGACAATGGATTTGATCCTTAGCACCACATTAATAAATAAATAAAAAACAAAATAAAGGCATTCTATCCAACTACAACTACAAAAAAAATGGGGTGCTGAGGATGTGGAACAGTGGTTAAGTGCCCCTGGGTTCAATCCCCTGTACCAAAAAAAAAAAAAAAGGAAAGAGAAATCATTTATGTCAAAAAATACGCTAATTGGCTAGGTGGAGAGGCTGAGGCAGGAAAATTGCAAGTTCCAGGCCAGCCTAATCAACTTAATCTAGACCCTGTCTCAAAGTGAAATAAAAAGGGTTGAGGGGGCTGGGGATGTGGCTCAAGCGGTAGCGCGCTCGCCTGGCATGCGTGCGGCCTGGGTTCGATCCTCAGCACCACATACAAACAAAGATGTTGTGTCTGCCAATAACTAATAAATAAATAAATATTTTTTAAAAAAAGGGTTGAGGATGTAGCTTAGTGGAAGAGTACCCTGGGTTCAATTCCCAGAACCACTTCCAAAACGGACTGATCAATTATGATGAGGTCATAGGAAATAAATAAATGCAACTCTCAAAGATATTTAACTTAATATATAAAACTCCCACTTAAAAATGCACATAAAATGGTAATGAAGGGCTCAAAACATTTATTGCCATGAAGGGAAATAGATAAATTATGATATCAAAATTAATAGACTACACATTCTAACAAAACATGATTACGTATTTTCCTTATTTTATATGTTGCATACATTAAGATACTACTAGAAGGAAAACACTGTTGTTTTCTTCATACAACGTCATGATGGAAATCAAAACAGGGCTTTCAAGTTTTATGTTTATTTCTAACCTGTAAGAGTATAGTTTTGTTTGTGTTGCCAAAGATACAAGAAAACAAAACTTATTTTCTAATATTTAATATGAGATTATTAATACTCACAATATATAGTTTTTTTAGTCATGGTTGTGGATATAGTCATGTCATAGAGTTTTCCAGTCCCAGTTTTGGTACACTAAATTGTCCTTGTGTTTATTCTTCCTATAAACCATCTGTTAAATAGGAATATGTATGTATTTCTAAACTTTCTGCCATAGCATAATAGATAAACTATCATATTCAAGAAAGGATGGGGGTAACAGGCAAGCTAGAGGCATAAATTCAGTCTTTTATATGGTTCTGTTAATTTCTCTGCTTCATAGTCACAGATAAAATGTATTTCCTAACCATTGACTAAGGAAGTATTTATATTACAAGCACAACCAAAATGAGACGAGTCAAGTATAGCAAATATCTGTATTCTCTCATTCCATGTTTATAGCAGACATCAATAATTGATCAAGATTTCCTTTGCCATTGAGTTGTGGGAATTCTTTTTCTTCTTCTTCTTAATCTTTGTTGTTGTTGTTGTTGTTGTTACAAGGTATTAAACCTGGGGCACTTAACCACTGAGCCACATACCCAGCCTTTTTTACTTTTTATTTTGAGATAGGGTCTTGTTGAGTTGCTTAGAGCTTCACTAAGTTGCTGAAGCTAGCTTTGAATTTGTGATCCTCTTGCCTCAACCTGTTGAGTCACTGGGATTACAAATGTGTACCACTAACTATGCATGACTGGGAATTCTTCTTAATTTAATTTTCCAGAGAGTTACACACCAAATAACCTAAGTTAGAATATGGGTCAAAAACCATAGTCAACCCTATTTCATTTCATAAAATCATGACCCTATTATGAGTCATGATTTTATGAAATGAAAAGCATATAATTTATCATAATATGTGTTTCAGTGCAGTCTCAAGCAAAATACTTACATTAAAAGACATTGAGGCAGAGAATAAAATGACTAATTACCTAAGAGAACAAATTATTCAACAAGTCAGGAAAAAAATAGAATAGAGGGAGTCATTTTAAGCCTGCTCCAATAGTTAACACTTCCCTCTAACACTGTAAAAATATAGAATGCCAAGTTTGATGTGTGTGTGTTTTGTTTATTTGTTTTGGTGGTGGTGCTGGGGATTGAACCCAGGGCCTTTCGCATAGTAGGCAAGCACTCTACCACCCACCCTCCTTTCACACAGTAGGCAAATGCTCTACCTCCCTCCAGACCCTGGAGTGCCAACTTTGAGAAAGGTACTGGGGGGGGGAAGGATCTGGAATAGAAAAGACTAATAATATGTTATGCATGCCCTCAAGAAGCTCACTATCTAAAGAGCAAAACATATTCTCAACTATAATAGTGATTAATAGTTATTGAGCACTTTATCTGAACCAGCACGATTCTTAAGTACTTCATGTAATCTAACTAATTTAATCTTCACCATAATTATATGAAGTGGATAATTATTATTACAATCCAAGGTAGACTGTTATAAATATTCTCAAAGAAGAAGTAATTATGAGGGCTGGGGTTGTGGCTCAGTGGGCAGACACTCATGTGTGAGGCACTGAGTCCGTTCCTCAGCACCACATAAAAAAATAAATTAATTAAAGGTATTGTGTCCATCTACAACTAAAAAAAAAAAAATCTTCTAAAGAAAAGAAAAGAGGGCTGAGGATGTGGCTCAAGCGGTAGCACGCTCGCCTGCCATGCGTGTGTGTGGCCCGGGTTCGATCCTCAGCACTACATACAAAGATGTTGTGTCCGCCGAAAACTAAAAAATAAATATTAAAAAAATTCTCTCCCTCTCTTTCTCTTAAAAAAAAAAAAGAAAAAGAAAAAAAAGAAAAGAAAGGAAGTAATTATGATCCTTGAAATTAGGAAAGTTTTTAGAGAGGGATGTAACATTTGAATGTGGCATTCTTAATCTTTATTTTCTTATAGGATTTTCCTATTATAGGAGGGGGCTGCTCTCCATGAAAAATGTTACATCAATAAATACGTACAGTCATAATAAAGCAATGGTATGTTGGGATAAATACAGTGGTACAAGTATCTTGTTTATTTATTTATTTGATAGTGGGGATTGAACTCAGGGGCACTCAACCACTGAGCCATATCCCCAGCCCTATTTTATATTTTATTTAGAGACAGGGTCTCACCGAGTTGCTCAGTGCCTCACCATTGCTGAGGCTGGCTTTGAACTCATGACCTCCTGCCTCAGCTTCCTGAGCCGCTGGGATTAGAGGTATGCATCACCGTACCCAGCTATTTTTTTTAAGTTTTTTGATACAAACTTTTAGATGGCTTTGACTATGACATTAAGACATTAGGTCTTTTTTTTTTTTTTTTTTTTTTTAAAGAGAGAGTGAGAGGGAGAGAGAAAGAATTTTTTTTAATATTTATTTTTTAGTTATCGGCGGACACAACATCTTTGTTTGTATGTGGTGCTGAGGATCGAACCCGGGCCGCACACATGCCAGGTGAGCGCGCTACCGCTTGAGCCACATCCCCAGCCCAAGACATTAGGTCTTTACTAAGCAAAGGAGAGCCTAGGTCTCAGATCTAGAAGAATGATATAAAAACAAGTTATTTATTTATTTATTTATTTTACTAAGGATTGAACCCAGGGGTACTTAACCATATCCCCAGTCCTTTTTGTATTTTTATTTTGAGACAAGGTCTTGCTAAATTGCTTAGGTCTTTGCTAAGTTGCTGAGGCTGGCTTTGAGCTTAGGATCCTCCTGCCTCAGCCTCCTGAGTTGCTAGGGTTACAGGCATGCAACAACCATGCCTGGGAAAAAATAATATTTTTAGAAAGAAAACTCTGGTATCATTGATAAAGTTTAACTGAACAATAGAAAGGAGAAAAGGAGATTAATTAGGAGATTATCACAAAAGTCATAAGGTAGTTTTTTTTCTAACTATGGGTAATAATCCATTAATGAGTTGTGAAATCAACTTGGTTGTGGTCAGCATTGAAAAAAAATCAAATTTAAAAAATCCATACTGGACCCTATGCTATAAGAGTTCATACTTGGGCTGGGGATGTGGCTCAAGCGGTAGCGCGCTCGCCTGGCATGCGTGTGGCCTGGGTTCGATCCTCAGCACCACATACCAACAAAGATGTTGTGTCCGCCGAGAACTAAAAAAAATAAAAATATTGAAAATTCTCTATCTCTCTCTCTCCTCTCTCACTCTCTCTTTAAAAAAAAAAAGTTCATACTTTTTTTTTGTAAATTCTATTCCAGTTTAGATGTGTATGTATATATGTATATTCATATGAATATATAATAAATTCATATGTATTTCTTACTGTAGAAAGTGGTAAAAATGTTTGATAAACATGATCTAAGGGGAAGCTAAATTTCAAGTTGGGGCTCCTAGAAATGGAAAAGCAACAAATTATTTGAAAGCTGCTTCAAAGAGTAGAATTAATAGGACTTAATGATGAACTTGGGTGTAGGGTTTAAGTGAAGAGAGAATATGGTAGGCTAAATAATGGTTCTCCCAAAAGTACCTGTATCCTAATCCCTAGGATCTGTCATAAATGGAAAAAGGTACTTTGTAGGTATGATTAAATTAAGGATCTTAAGATGGAAAAATTGTCCTCAATATCTCAATGTGGCCAAAATGCAATCACACATATCCTCACAAGAGTGAGGCAGAGGTTTGACCTGACACAGAATGGGAGAAGTCAGTGTGATGGCAGACATTGGGAGTATGGCACCCATTAGAAAATGGAAGAGAGCCATAAAGAAAAATAAAATTATGGGCTAGGGATGTGGCTCAAGCGGTAGCGCGTTCGCCTGGCATGCTTGCGGCCCGGGTTCGATCCTCAGCACCACATACCAACAAAGATGTTGTGTCTGCCGAGAACTAAAACATAATAAATATTAAAAATTCTCTCTCTCTCACCCTCTCTCTCCTCTCTCACTCTCTCTTTAAAAAAATAAAATAAAATAAAATTATATCATTTACAGGAAAATGGATGGAACTTGAGAACATTATGTTAAGTGAAATAAGCCTAACTCAGAAGGTCAAGAGTTGTATGTTTTCTCTCATATGTGGAAGCTAGTGAGGAAAAGAAAAGAATAGTGAGGAGGGCAGATCTCATGAAAATCAAAGGAACATAAATAGAATAGAGAAAAGGGACCAGGGAGAGGGAGGAGAGGAGGAAAGGGAAAATACTAGGAAATGATATTGGCCAAATTATACCGTTAAATTGTGAGCATGTACAAATATGTAACAATAAGTTGTATAATTATATACAACTATAATGCACCAATAAAAAATGTGGAAAAAAGAAAAAAAAATGGAAGAGGCCTAACTACTTTGGAGGCTGAGGTATGAGGATGGCAAGTTGTCTGGGCAACTTAGCAAGATCCTGTCTCAAAATAAAAAATTAAAAGGGCTGAAATGTAGCTCAGTGGTAGAGCACCCCTGGGTCCAACAAAAAGAGAGTACAACAAAAAGAGAGAGAGAGAGAGAGAAAAGAGAAGAGAAGAGGAGGAGAGGAGAAGAGAGGGGAGGGGAGGGGAAGGGAGGGGAGGGGAGGGAGGAAGGAACAAATGAAGGAAAGAAAAAGAAAATAAAATGGAGGAGGCCAGCAAAAGATTCCCTCCTAAAGCCTCATATGGAATGTGGCCTGATATTTGGTCTAATGAAACTTATTGCAGGTTTATGATCTCCTAAACTGTGAGAGAATAAATTTCTGTTGACTTAAGTCACCAAGTTATGGCCGCAATTGGAAACCAGTTGATCATCAGAGACCTTGGGAACTAAGAAGATGGACATGTCATTAACAAGAATAAGAATATGGGGAAAACAAGACATGGTGAGGGATTAAATTTTAAATATAACAAGTTTGAAATACACAAAAGACAAATCTAAACAAATAAATAAATAAATACATAACAAAAATCTGATTTCCTATTTAAAGTATTTCAACTTTTACAAGTTTTAAAAGATCGTTAAAATGTTCAAGTGTTATTTTCTTTGGATAATCAAATGTAAGACTCATCCTTTATACATTCTGTCATCTGACAATACTGTGGTTAAAACAGGTGCCAGGTCAAGTGTGGTAGCTCATGCCTGTAATGCCAGTGACTTGGGAGGCTGAAGCAGGAGGACTGCAAGTTTGAGGACAACTTCAGCAATTTAGGGAGGCCCTGAGCAACTTAGTGAGAACCTGTCTCAAAATTAAAAATAAAAAGGATTGGGGATGTAGCTCAGTGGTAAAGTATCCCTGGGTTCAATCCCCAGGACAAAAAACCAAAAACCTAAAGAAACAGGTGCCAGCTTCTAGAATTACATAGTATCTCTGGAATGTTTAAAATTCAAGAACCATCTGTTACCATGGATCACTTACTTAAGCCATTCAGATTGGCAATTTTTTCAATGCAGTTTGTAGACAGTGAAAGCTTCCTTTAAAAGAACAAAGAAAAGACTTTAATTAACATGAAAAACTTATAATAGTATATTAGAAATTATTCCTCATCAGAAGTTCCCATGGAAGATAATATTTAAACAATTGACTTTTTTTTTCCTCATTCAGTCATAGAATTCATTCATTTTTTAAACGCTCCTCCCCCCTTGTAAATGTTAATACACACTTATTGTAGGAAATTTTAAAAATCTTTTTGAGGCAATTTGGTGTTATCTATAAAAATTTTTAATGCAAATGTTCTTAGTATTTCACTGCTAGGAATGCAGCCTACTAAAATACAAAGATGAGTGCCAAGAGATATACAAACTAGACTACTTATTATATAATTATAATAGAAAAAAACTCTGAAAAAATCTGTCAACTTGGAATAGATAATGAAATACTATGCTGATACTAAAAAATGATATTGGGCTATAGATACTGACTTGTGAATATGTCCATGATGTAAGATAAATTTAAAAACCATCTTGTAAAACAATATATTTTATACAACTCCTTTTAGTAAAACAAAACAAAAAGCTCCAAACCTCAAAAACACAATTATGTATATACATTTGTTAAGATATATTTTTTCATGTGTTAAATCCTTCAGAAATGTATACTGAAAAATGTAATGTCATATGTAATCCCAATTGTCCCACCCTCCCTAGAGATTAATATTTTTAACATTTTGCATATATTTTTCTAGACTTTTTCTATCCATATTTTAATGATATAAAAACAAAGTTTTTAAAGGGAACATAGTTAACATTCTTAATCTTTCTTCCTTGATTAAAATGTTTAATATATTAGAAATTTCATGCAAAACATATAATAATAAAGGCTAATTTCTTGAACATTTAATGTGTGCCCAGTATTCTTCTAAACAATTTACATGAATTATTTTAACAATCACAATTTTCTGAGATAAATATTATTATTATCCACATTTTACAAATGAAACTATGACACAAAGATGTTAAACAATTTGCCCAATATTACACAATCACAACGTGGCAGGTCCAAAATTAAAATCCAGGTAAGTTTGATGCTAGAATACGTGTCTTACCCTTATATTTGACTTGAAGAGGAATTATTCATTTATCTGTTTGAAACAGCAAAAGCAATTACTATATAGTTTTCACCAAATCTGTATATTTTCTGGTTATCCCCCATTCCTGAGACCTACCAGTGATAAATAAAGTGCCTTAAAAATCCAGAAATATTATTGGAAAAGAATTCTTTAAATCTTGTTTACATAGCTTTCCCAAAGACATTGTCAGCAAAAATATGAACAGGTTGACTCTTTCTAAATGGTTTCTGAAGGCTTTGGCATGGGATACAAAATCTTCTCAAGTTTGTTTACCTTTTTGGTGGTTTTATGAAAAAAAAAAAGATCATTCTAGAAGCCAAATATGAATCCCAAGGTAGATTTTTATGTAAGCCAGTATGCTTTTATCACAATGAATGAATTGCACACAATAAATACATATGTTTGCTTTTCCCTTTAATCCCAAAGATATATATGAGTAATATTACAAATATGTGTTCACCAATATGTGTTCACAAGTATGTGTCCAAGAACTACCCAATTGCCTACTGTAGAGATTCTTAGAATTCCTTAGTATGATTCTATAAAATTGGGATGGAGCTTATCTCCTGCAGAAAGTTCAAGTGGTGAAGGGATCACATTTATAGAAACACATGGTGAAGAAGTTAGAAAGAACCTCAGGTACTCTACAGTATTCCACAACCCTGACAGGAGACAATAGGGTCCCGAAAATATGGTTATGAGGTGTCACTGTATAATTGCCTCAAATTAGCATACAATCCTGCTAAAAACTGAGTAGAATATTTAGAAAATAAATTAAAAGAAATTAACATAGATCTGATCATTGAAGTCATAGGAAATAGGATTACAAAACAAGTGCAATTTTATCCCAATTAGGATTAAAAAAAAAATTAGCCTGGTGAGGTGGTACACACCTATAATCCCAGCTACTCAGGAGGCTGAGGCAGAAGAATCAAAAGTTCAAGACCAGCTTTGGCAGTTTAGTGATATCCTGTCTAAAAATAAGAATAAGGGCTGGGGGGATGTTGCTCAGTGGTAGAATACCACTGGGTTCAATCCCTAGTAGTGGGGGTAAAAATTAAAAGGCTCTATGTAAAAATGCTAACACTGATTTTATAAGATACTACAATTTAGGTTGACATTAATACTTTGTGTTCTTTATATTTCCTGGATGGTTTGCAATGTATTTTTAGTTTTTTTTAAAAATTCGTATTCCTTAGGTAATCAGTAAAAAAATGCAGTTCTGAATTTGACGGATAATTTTACAAGAAAAAGTAGTTGACTCAAATGACAGAGTAACAGTTGATTCTGTTATTTAGCTTCTTCCAAAAAACTAGCACTTTTCCATTTCCAAATATAATATAAAAACTATATTATAATATAAACTATATTATATTATTTATATTATATATAATATAAAACTATATTATATCATAATATAAAAATATAATATAAAAATATATTATAATATAAAAATATAACATAAAAACTATATTGAAAATATCATTCCATTAATAATCCTATAAACCAGTCATCTTTCACATTTAACTTTCCCAAGGGAAGAATTACAATAAACAAACAAAAATATGAAAATCACAGAAAACAAATATATCCTAGTATAAAGGAAAAAAGAAAGGAAAACTAAATAGCAATATTAGAAGGATGAAAAGAGAACTTACTCGCAATTAGCCAGTGTGGACAAGGATGCATCCATCTTCTCTATTGGGGGAATCTGGGCATAAAGTTTTATCTCTTTGGTTTCAGATGGCCTCTGACCAGTTTTCTCTTCCTATGAGAAAAGTTAATTTGGAACAAAATGACCCCTAGTTATGATGTACAACAAAAGAGGCAAGATTTCTGAAGGCCTTTCAACATTAATTTCAACATTTTTAGAATTTTAATAACTACTTAATAATTATTCATCACTTACTGAACCATGTATTTGCTGACCCTAATAACCAGGCTTCTATATGGCTCAATCTGATAATTGTTAGGTCCCTAGCAAAAGGAAATAAGGAGAAAAAAATCACTTATATTTTTATATTGTTTAAAATCTTTTGTTTATCCATTTCCAGGTGTAGTGGCACATGCTTGTAATCCTAGCAACTTGGAAGGTAGAGGCAGGTAGGTCAGCCTCAGCAACTTAGTGAAACCTCAGCAATTTAGCAAGATCCTGTCTCAAAATGAAAAATAAAAAAGGACTGGGAATATAGCTCAGTGGTGTAAGGCTCTTAGGTTTAATTCCTAGTACAAATAAAATAAAATAAAAAGTCTATCAATTGATTTTCCTAAAAAATATTCCTTGTCCCTAACTGACCTCGTTAAATATCAGATTCAGAATGGTAAGATTTCATTCATCTTCTTTTTTCTATACTTATTTCAGCCTGAGCTAGAACCTCAAATATAAGAAATTTTAAAGATATTCTCTTTATAACATAGCTGAGATCAAAGCTATCTATTCTACTCTAATTCACTAAATCCTACCTTAGTATTTAGTTTTAGTATTAAGCATACAATTTAAAATTTAATTACCCATACTAGCTGCCTATTAATATTTTCCAAGCACATCACTAACTTAGAGTTAGTTCTCTCTTTCCAACACAACTTGAAGCTCAGGGACCATTTCCTTTGCCCTCCTGTGTTTTCTGTAACTTAAAGGAAAAAAGTTTATTTTGAGTTTATGGTATCGAAGGTTCAGTCCAAGGTCAGTCAGTTCCATTGCTCTGGAGTGAGGCAGAACATCAGGGCAGAATGGCATGATGGAAGAAAGCTGCTTAGCTCATAACCACCAAGCAGAGAGGAAGAGCCAGGAACAAAATATGATCCCCAAAGATATACTCTAGTGAAATACTTCCTCCAGCCATGCCCTACCTGCCTACATAATCCACCTAATAGTCTACTGAAATTATTAATCCCTGAAATCGTTTTAAATGGATTAATCCACTGATTAGATTAACCTTGTGCAATGTAGGGTGCAAAGAGGCTCATTTAAAAAATCAATTCATGGGCTGGGGATGTGGCTCAAGCGGTAGCGAGCTCGCCTGGCATGTGTGCGGCCCGGGTTCAATCCTCAGCACCACATACCAACAAAGATGTTGTGTCTGCTGAGAACTAAAAAAAATATTAAAAATTCTCTCTCTCTCTCCCCTCTCTCACTCTCTCTTTAAAAAATAAAAATAAAAAAAATAAAAAATCAATTCATCACATATCAACAATAGAAAATATATAGTCCATTGAAAGAGATCTAACATACATCCAGTCAGTACTTTTGTATCACACATTTGTAGGTTAGGGGAAAGAAAACTTAAACCCCACAAATCTTCAATAAATGATGGGTTGCCATTTGTGGCAACACAGATGAGCTGGGAGGACTCATTCATTTTAAGTGAAATTTGCCAGGAACAGAAAGAAAAATACTACAGGTCCTTACCTATTTATGGAACCTAAAAAATTGGACCTCACAGAAGTCCACAGTATAATAGTGGTTACCAGATGCTGGGAAGAGTAAGGGGTAGGGAAGTAACAGGTACAAATAGGAGGAATAAGTTCTAGTATTCTATAGCACAGTAGGGTGACTATAGTTAATGATAATTTATTATACATTTAAGAATAACTATAAAGAAAGGATTTCAAATATTAGCATAGGAATGATAAATGTTTGAGGTGGTAGATATGCAAATAATACTGAATCGATGATTATACATTATATACATATATCATGTCACATTGTTGGGCTGGCATTATGGCTCAGTCATATAGCACTTACCTAGCACATGTGAGGCCCTGGGTTCAATCCCCAGTACCATATAAAAATAAAGGTGTTGTGTCAATCTACAACTAAATTTTTTTTTAAATGTCACATTGTATCCCATAAATATGTACAGTTATGTGCCAATAAAGAACATTTGTGTGTGTGTGTGTGTGTGTGTGTGTGTCTGTGGTGCTGGGAATTAAAGCCAGGGCCTTGTCATGCAAGGCAAGCACTCTACCAACTGAGCTATATCCCCAACCCAAAGAACATTTTTTAAATGTTAAAAATTAGCCTGGTGCAATGCTGCATACCTGTAATCCCAGCAGCTCAGGAGGCTGAGACAGGAGGATTATGAGTTCAAAGCCAGTCAGCAACTGTGAGGCACTAAGCAACTCAATGAGACCCTGTCTCTAAATAAAATACAAAATAGGGCTGGGGATGTGGTTCCATGGTTAAGTGCCCCTGGGTTCAATCCCGGGTGCCCACCCCACCCCACCCCCCCTCAAAAAAATTAATGTGAGCACCGGGGCTATAGCTCAGTGGTACAGCATTTGCCTAGCAAATGTGAGACACTGGGTTCAATCATCAGCACCACATAAAAATCAATTAAAAAACAAAATAAAGGTATTGTGTCCATCAACAACTAAAAAATTTTTTTAAAGACTTTTTTTCCAAAGCTATAAAAGTAAAGAGTACATTATTTTGTAACAAACTATATAGCATAGACAAAAAAAGTTATCACTGGGCACAGAAATTAAGGTGCCATCTTTGTACTCTATGGAAATTTTATCTATAAATGCTGAATTACAACTGTTCACATTACAGAATGTTAATATTCAAAATACTCATTGTTATGGTTTGGATATTAGGTGTTCCCCAAAAGGCTCATGTTAGTTAATGCAGGAATGTCCAGAGGTGCAATGATCAGATTATGAGAACTGTAATCTAATCAATGGATTAATCCATTTAAAACGATTTCAGGGATTAATAATTTCGGTAGACTATTAGGTGGATTATGTAGGCAGGTAGGGCATGGCTGGAGGAAGTATTTCACTAGAGTATGCCTTTGGGGATCATATTTTGTTCCTGGCTCTTCCTTTCTGCTTGGTGGTTATGAGCTGAGCAGCTTTCTTCCATCATGCCATTCTGCCCTGATGTCCTGCTTCACTCCTGACCTTGGACTGAACCTTTGATACCATAAACCCAAAATAAACTTTTTTCCTTTAAGTTGTTCTTGCCAGGTATTTTGGTCATAGTGATGAATAGCTGAATGCCACACTTATGGTTTATATTTAATGCATGTTTTTTACAATGTGTTTCCTCTCTAATATTACTATATACTTTAGTATTTTTACTCCAAGTGTTTTCAGTTGTTTAGTGTAATTTACATTGGTCTATACTGGCTATCTCTGTTCTAACATCCAACAGGCTAAAACGATCATCTGATTAAAGCCTGGACAATCCACAATATTTACCACTCTATTACTTGAAAGTGACTGATAAAACTGGAAAAGAAAATGTACTATAATACAAAGATTCCAGCCATTTTATAGCAATAGGTTAATCAGTCTTTCCATATTTATATTTTTATTGACATTTCTGTTAAGATATTTGAGGGATGGGGATGGGTGCAGCTTAGTGGTAGAGTTTGTGCCTAAGCATGCACAAAGCCCTGGGTTTGATTCCCAGCACCACAAAACAAAACAACAAAAACAGAGTGATCCCATGTACAGTTTGACCAGAATATTACTCCCCAATGGTAATAGTATATAAAACTACAGTATATCATAACTAAGGTATTGCTACTGATATAATGTATCAGTTTTATTTAGATTTTCCAGGGCTGGGGATGTGGCTCAAGCGGTAGCGCACTCGCCTGGCATGCGTGCGGCCCAGGTTGTACCACATACAAACAAAGATGTTGTGTCCGCCAAAAACTTAAAAAAAAAAATAAAAATATTAACATTCTCTCTCTCTTAAAAAAAAAAAAGATTTTCCCAAATTTACTAGTACTCACTTACGTGTATGAGTGAATATATATTTGTATGTATGTATTAAGTTCCAAACAATTTTATCAACTGTATAAATTCATGTATTCACTACCACAGACAAGAGAGCTGAAAAGTTCCAATATCACAAGGATACCTTGTATTGAGTGGTCAGATTTAAATAACTATCCAAATTTTCCTTGTATGGCTTCTAAAAGAAGGAAAAACTCACATACTTACCCATCTGGCTAGGGCTTCTTTAATTGTTGTTGCTTTTGCCTTTAAAAAACAAAAAAGAAGAAGAAAAAAATAAAAAGAAAAAAGAAGAGGAGGAAGAAGAAGAAACAGGCTGTTTTTATTGGTGTGATTTATTAATTCAATTTTCATTCATTAATCATTAGCTTAGCTTCCACCTTTAAAAGGATTAATGTCTTTCTTTGAGATTTTATAGGCAAGAAGGTATTTTAATGATTTCTTTAAAGACCACTCAGAAAAAATAAGGAAATCACTATGTAATGCTCATACATTTCACTTCCACTTGATTTACAAAGAATACATAGCTTCCAATACTTGATATTAAAATATATTCTATTTCATTGATTCAAAAATCTACATCTTCTTTTACATTGTAACATTGAAATTTGGATGCATTACAATTAGGAACAATTTACAATTGCTGTGGCCAGGTGACAGTGGCAAAATTTTAGAAAAATATTAACAATTTTATTTCATACACATAAACTCCTTTTCATGTTTGCAAAGAATGATATGACAAAAATCTACACGTCTAAATCTTTTTAAAAGAATTCCATCAATAAGTACAAATTAAAAATTCTAAATGATAAAAAATTTGTCATAGTTCAATTTCAACTTATTCGAGGAATTCAGCACTAAGAAAGAAATCTGCATTTTCAAATGCATTCATCAGAAAACAAGAGATTGGAAACAAATGGGCTAATAAGAACTTAAGACATTTTAAAAAGTACATATGGCAAATCCAAAGAAGAAATACAAAGGAAGAGGTCAATGAAAAGCAGAAAGGGGAAGAGGTTCTTAATTCTCTTGCAAGCATGACTGGGAAAAAATAAGAGATATATAAATTTAAAATACAGAATGAATAAGGTAGATATCACAGAGATTTTTTATCAAGTGTTTTAAATAAAATGAGCAAAATTTGCTATAGTTTTAAAACCTAGATGAAGTTTTCATTTTTAGAAAAAACATTAAAATATGAAAACTGTCACAAAAACAGAATCAGAAACTTTGAATAGAACAATACTATTGGAAACATTAAAATGATAGTCAAAGAAGTTTACTGTCATCCTTCTCTCATTAAGCTCCACGCTTAGATGGTTTTACAAGTGAACTGTAACAAGCTTTCAAGGAATACTCCTTCTTATGCAAGTTGTTTCAGAACCCAGAGAAAGAGGAAAGTTGCCAACTTATTTTATGAGTCTAGAAAAATGATAGCATAACCACATAAAAAGTCCTCTTTACTTTTTAACACAGATTTGGAAATTCTGAATAATATTAGATCTCTCCAAAGTCAATAATATGTAATGATCATGATCAAGAAAGAATATTTTGGGGGCTAGAGTGGGACTCAGTGACAGAGTGCTTGCCTATCATGTGTGAAGCATTGGGTTCAATCTTCAGCACCGCATAAAAATAAGCAAATAAAATAAAGGTATGCTGTCCACCTACAACTACCAAAAAATAAAAATAAAAAATAAAGAATGAATAGTTTATCCCAATAGCACAAAGAGAACAACAGAAAAATTTCAAAGTATAAAAATTAGTGGATTATTCATAGGAAATCATGTTTATTTCAGTAAGTGTAGAAAACACTTGATAAATTTCCGTATCTGATTTTAGATGTTGTCAGCTAATAGAGATTCCTACTTGATAAAAGTTATATACCAAAAATTTGCAATACCATACTTCGAAAATTAATTTATTTCAGCAACTATTCTGTGTCTACTGCATGCCAAGCATTCTTTCATGTGTTTTTGATATGTTGAACAAAACAAAGATTCCTGCCTTCATGAAACTTACATCTGCTGGAGGGGAAATATATATATATATATATATATATATATATATATATATATATATGTAAATTGGAAGATAACAATTATTCAGATTTTTTAAAAAAACTTCAAGGTTGGTAAGGGGTATCAGAAAGTATATGTGTGTGTGTAGGATATTTATTTTAAATAAGGTAGTCAAAGTGGGCTCAACTGGAAAGGTAACATTAAAAGTATTTCCTTCAAGGTCCCAAAAACATCAAGGATGCTCACTATCACTACTACTGTTTACTATGGCTCAAGAGATCTTTATAAGCACTATAACAAAAGAAATACAAAGTGCAATGATTGAAACATTAAACTGTCATCATGTGCAGATGATCATCAGTAAAGAAAACCCAAAAGAATAAACTGGTAAGTATTAGAGCAAACACAATAAAGAACACCACTGACAAAGTTAACAGTAAAATTGGGAGAAAATATTTTTCATTTGAAAGCAACAAAAGGCTTAGTGTACCCAAGGAACTCCTAAATTTTACAAATAAAAATAAAAATGGAAACAAATGGCAAAAATATAAACAGACAATTCACAGAAAACTTAAACTTAGGTAACTAATATTAACAGGTGTTTGAACTCACTGAAAATCAGAAAAACTCAAAACAACTGGATACATTTGCAGATCAATAAAAGTGAGTTGGTGAGAATGTAGAGAAATGGGAACACTTATCCTTTGCTGGAGAAAGTAAAAAGTGGCCCAGCTATTCTGGAAAACACAATGACAGTACCTAGGAAATTTAAAGTATGCATAGACCCTATCACTGAACAATCCATTCCTAGTTGATTTTCCCAGAGAAATCCTTGCATGCATGAGTTCATAAAAAGACACCACCAAAAGAACACTTTCACAACATTGTAGAAAGAGAAGCAATTTATCTGTCTACTGTGGCAATATAAGTTGTTGCAAGTCACTTGTTTCCCTTAATAAACAGGAGGAGTCAAAACCCACAAATGCCTGAAACACCAAATGGATACCATTAATTGATGAAATCTGAGCAGCTAAGGGCAGAGCCCACTAAAGAGCATAACTTCTACTTGGCTCCAGACAACTGTTGGGATTTGTGGAAACGAATTATCCTAACATCATATTTCTTCAAATACAAAAACTCCACTAATTGTAATACCCTTGTTTTATGTACCATTAAGAAAGAAAACATGCTGACAGTTATGAGCCATTATATTTCAATAACACTAAAATGTGAAAAGAATGTGTTGTAAGGATGGCCTTAGGCCTTAGCCTAAGCAACTCCATTTTAAAACTCCACTTTGAAACCTGCAGTCTCACCCAGTATGCTTACGGAGCCCTCCAATATGATCGAATAGGCCTGACATAAACAAGTCACTTTTCCCCACCCTGACAAGCTCAGAGTGAAGTCTCTGTCATGTTGCTCTCACCCTGATAAGGGGAAAAGGCAAGAAAATCAGGGTGGGGACCACCAGACCAGATGCCTTAACCCCAGGACAAATGATGAAATCCAGTGGCAGCTGATAGGGATTGAAAGGGTGGTCAGAAGCCCCAAAATTTAGTATAAATGGAGCAAATGAGCAGACATTCAGCCAGCTGACACTGATGCCCTCACGCCTGAGAGCCTGATGAGGATTGGACTGACATACCACTCTTCTCATCATTTGCCTGATCTTCTGCATCTTCCTCACGGCTCTCAAACTCTTGACCCTGGTGAGAACTGCAACTTTTCCCTACCACCCTCTCCTCAACTGGCCATCAGCTCCACCCCAGGAGAAGCCTGCCTTGGTCCTGACCTGATCACCATGGTTTGAGTGAGTGTGCATTTGCTGGACTTAGAGCCTAAGGCTTGAAACTTTATACCTGGCACTTGACCTTAGCATCCAGAGGGATTGTCTCTCATGATTAAGAGTGTTTGCAGTGTTTAGAATTAATCTAGAATTGTTCACAGTGAATTGATTATGTCTATTGCAGTGCCTAGCATTAAGGATTGTCATTTTCTTAATTAAGAACCTATAGAGTGCTGGGGTTGTGGCTCAATGGTAGAGCACTCACCTAGCATGTATGAGGCCCTGGGTTCGATTTCAGCACTACATAAAGCTAAATAAATGAAGGTATTGTGTCCATCTATAACATAAAAAAAGAACCTATAGAGTGAAATTTATTGAGTGATTTGAGTGAATAAAGCATTGAAAGGGCAGAAGCGCGTGGACATTCTTTATTTCTCCCCTTCGACTGCATAAGTCACACCTATGCCCATAGCAACATGTGTTCAATGTTAAATTTTTTTTCAGAGAAGCCAGAAACCTGAGCTTTAATGTGTAATATTATCTTTTTAAAGCTACATTAAAAATGTAAATTTATGTGGACCTGTATTTATTTCTTTTTTTTCTGTATTATACATTCATTTATTTAGGAGATTCATGACAATATTATCTATATTATATTTTCCACTTATTTGGAAGATTTGTAATTATCAAGACTAAGTCCTCTAATTTCTCTGTGACTGCACATAAAAGAATACCAAGAAGTACAGTTATCCTTTGGTAGCCCAACGGTATTGGTTCCAGGATATCTAGTTCACAGATACCAAAAATCTGCAGATGCTCAAGTCCCTWATTTTTAAAATGGCATAATATTTTCATGTAACCCACATACATTCTTTATGCATAAATGAAAACATAGTGTTTTAAAAATCATTTTAATATTTCTTGATGCCTAATACAACATAAATACTATACAAATAGTATATGCCTAACACAACATAAATACTATGCAAATAGTTCATACGAACAGAGCAAAATGACAAAGAAATAAGCACACATACTCGTTGTAGACATAATTTTTGCTTTGCATARTTTTAATCTGCAGTTGGTTGGATCTTTGAATGTGGATCCCATGGACATGAAGAGCTGATTTTACTGACTATTCAAATTATACTAAATCATATGTACCCAGTAAGGAACCTGACAGTCTAAGAACAATCCTAAGCATCACATGCCCTTTTCTACTTTCATACAACCTGTAATTTGTTATTCACAAGGGTCGACACTATATATCCATTACATTAGGAATCATCTGCCTGTATTTATTTCTATCTATCTATCTCACGGTGCTGGAGATGGAACCCAGGGCATCACCTTACTAGGTAAACTTTCTACTCCTGAATTATACTCCCAGTCCCAATATTTCTTTATCAACATCTCCATCCAGCAGGACAATCACATCTTTGCTAAATAACTTTAGCTGGATCTGTAAACCTGTTCAAACTACCAGTTAGAACTACCAAGTAGGTAAGCAAGAGAGTGAGTGCACACTTTAGGAGCTGAGAAGCATCACTAGGCAAAATCATTACTTCATAAAAGCTCTGATTGGACAAAACCGCTGGTTGGTTTTAAATCGAAGGCAGAAGGATTTCTCTAAGTGTGGTGTGATGCTCCCCAATTTTAGAATCACTTGAGGTGCATAGTTGAAATGCACATTCCTGAACACCCAATCATATTAAAAATTAATAATCTGCATTCCAACAAACTCAAATTTATGCATATTGAAATCTGAGAAACACTGCCCTAGTATATTCCATCAGCGTTACCTAATAAGTGCACTTACAGTCATTCAGAGGGCAATCTGGGCACTTCACAGGTTAGGGATACTACTGCCAATCGGCGCTACACTGACCCCCCTCGTAACTAGCCCGAGCTCCCTCCATCTCAACAGGGGGTGGGGGAGTTAAAATTATTGCTACGTAAAGAGCTATCTTTATCCACATCCCCCTTTCCATCATCTTTGACCCGAAAACTTCCTGCTTTTCGCCCTCCTTTTTCTTCTGCCAGGGCCCCTCTATCTTAACCCAACTTCCAACCAATCTCGGGCCACCCTCACCCCAGACCACCCTTTGCCAGGGCTTTCCTTTCGCCTCAGGCCTCGGACTCCACTGAGCCAACATCCGCTATCGACTCCCTTCCGCTGTTCGAAAACCCCGCGGCCCTCAATACTTCACAGTCACCCTTTTCCAGTCCCAACCTCATCTCAGCTTTGGCTAGGAGGCCCGGAGGGTACTCACCATTCCGGCGGTTGCTACTGTCACTGCTCCGGTTGCTAGGGCCCGCCGCGTTAAGTGCGCATGCGCAGCTCTCGGTGCTCTCCGCGGATGCCTGTCCCGGCAGCGGTCCTTCCTCTCCGCCCTTGGGGTGGCGCGAGCGGGGCATTGTGGGACAGCTCCGCGGGCCGGGGTCCTCCCGCCTGGCTGCCGCTTCCCTGCCGACAACCGAGGGCAGTAGAGCTTAACCGCCACCAGTGGTGAGGAGGTGTCCTTTTCCCTTCCGAAAGCATTTTCAGCCCATCTGGAGTGACGTTGAAATCTTTAAAACCTCCCGATAGCTTTTTCCGTTCTCAGAACTTACAAAATCCCTTTCCGTTGAAGACTGTCTTTCCCATCTTTTCTTAACCGGGGAGAATAAACTACCTACTGTGTGTAATCTACCTCGCCATCGGAGAATACCCAGAGTTAAACTCGATAGAATTTCTTGTATCTTTACCCCTGGTCCTCTAGAGAGCCAGAGGCACCCTGAAAGTTGGGCTTCACACTTAAATTATCACAAAATGTTGGTGTTACAGAACTGAGGTGTTCCCACGTATCAGAATAGCTAAAATTGCAAATAAATGAGTGTCTTTATAGAGTTGCTAGAAGAATGGAGAATAGACACTAACACTCTGCTGTTTAATTGACACAGTCTTTCTGAAGCTTTAAAAACTTACGCACTCCCTGTGACCAGCCCCAAAGTCCCACAGAAACCCAGTTGTATATTCATTTTACTCAAAATAGTGGATTATACTCTATACAAATAGCATTAATGGTGAAATATCAATCTTCTTCCCCCAGGGAGATTGAACCCAGGGGCGCTTAACCACTAAACCACATTCCCAGTCCTTTTTATATATTTTATATTTTATTTAAAGACAGGGTCTCCCTAAATTGCTGAGCCTAGTTTTGAACTGGCAATCCTCTTGCGATCATCTTGCCTCAGCTTCCCGAGCCACTAGCATTACAGGCATGCTCTGTGTATGTGTATGTGTATGTGTGTGTGTGTGTATCTTTATGCCTTTTCAGAATCTTACTTCTATTTCCTCTTTGTCATTAAGTCATAAACTTTGACCATGAATTCATTTCATCTACCAATATATGAACTGTATTTCATCAGAAATTTACTTTTCTCCCATAATTAGTTCACAATAACTTGGCAAATTTCACATCAAGAACGTTTTGAATTTCAGATTCTTTAAGGCTAAGACTGTCATCTAGGAAACAAAAGAACTATACTTGGATTCTTTCTTTATTCTTTTATATCCTGTTTAATGATGAAATGGATTCTAAAAGCTGCTCCCCAGAAAATATGGCTTGAAGTTGGTTTGCTCTTATTTCAGGCATGGATAAAAGAAAGCTAAATATAGTATTGAAAGTTTCCCCAAATTCATAAAATCTAGCATTCTTTGATAAATACATATAAAATTGCATAAATTATCAAAAACAGAACCAAATATATTAAGAAATCTTTAATTTTTAAACAAAAATGTGGATTGAACAAAAGAGAAAAACTTGTCACATTTAACAGATGATTAGAGATTGTGCAAAATAGCTGTAATAATCACTAATTCTTTTTTTAAAATATTTTTTTTAGTTGCCAATGGACCTTTATTTTGTCTATTTATTTATGTAAAGTGCTGAGATCCCAACCCAGTACCTCACACATGCTAGGTCAGTGCTCTACAACTCAGCTACAACCCCAGCCCTAATCACTAATTCTTAAGGTTGTTTATATAGTCAAGAGGTTTATCAGTTGGAATTAGAATGAGCATTGTATCAAATTTCCACAGTCAATTTCTCAATTACGATTCCAATGTAGTTATTTGATGATATTTTTTAAAAAGCCTATTTCTTCCCTTACTGTGTTTTGGTTTGTGTTAAAATAAACCTCTCTGTAGGGCTGGGGTTGTGGGTCCAGAGGTAGAGCACTCACTTAGCATCAGTGAGGCACTGGCTTCCATCCTCAGCACCACATAAAGTAAAATAAAGACATTGTGTCCACCTAAAACTAAAAAATAAATATTAAAAAAAAAACCCTGTCTGTAAAATTTTACATTGTGTAGGGACAGACGTGGCAAGGCACCAAAGTTAGCAGGAAACAGTTTTATTTGGCTGCAGCCAGGATTAGAGGGCACAGCTTTTGCTATAATCAATCAATCCTTGATTCTGAACCAGGAATTCAGGTAGGTTCATAATTTTATACCCAGCATGTAAGGGGAGGGGCTCAGAAGTTCACAGTCTGCAGAAGTTCACATAAAAGCAGCTTTTTCTTTCACTGTTTTGGGCAAGTTAACCCTTCAAGGATAACACCTGAGAAGGGGAGAGCTTCTTCTCCCCTTTCTTCCCTCCAGCTGCCAGCTGTTACCATGGAGCCTAATTGGTAACATCTCTTATCTTAGAAATGTAGACATCTCTGTGAAGCCCAGCTCAAGGCCAGAGGCCTTGTTTGCACATTTCTATAAACTACTATACTGGATACATGTTTGTGAAAAACTAGTAAGGGGGTGTCCTGCATATGCAGTGCTGATTTCTTCCTGACCAGTCGCTAAGTAAAATAGTGCAACACGAAAATAGGAAATTTATCTACATTGAACTCTTTCATAGAGACTCTTTTGCTGACAGTCCTAAAATCAGCCATGGTGAAGATTTCTGGAGAAGCCCAGTTAAGACTTTTTGTGGAGGTGGGGGTGCCACTACAACATGAACCCCCACCCCCATATCTGGAGGTGTACACACACACACACACACACACACACACACACTTCTTTGGTTGGGGTAATAATCTGAAACTTGAATTCAATTTTTAAAATAACATTAACTTGGGGAAGGAACTATTAATATTACAAACTAGAGTGACAGCTCTTCAATTTGCAAAGACAAGAACCCCCCTCCCATATTCTGAACGCAAGATCAACGGAGCAACCAAAGTCAAAAGCTAGTAATTTCTTCCAATTCTACACATTTTAAAACTTTGGAATAAAAACTCAAAACTTTATGATTATTTTGAGAAGTTAAACCTCACCCACATACTGTAACTTTTTTTGGTGGAGGAGCAAAAGGTAGGAGAGAGGAACTCTATATTTCTGTTAGAAATTAAATCATCTACACATGTAGTTACCAATTTTGGACTAGAACCTACAATCTGCCTATTTTAAAGTAGAGTTTTGACCTAAAATGTGAAGAAAAGTTTTTTAAAATTATGAATACAGAGATAAGGGAGAATCAAAGCAAGGGTTTCTCAGTAATTGATTGCCATTTTTAAGGCAATAATTATCTAAGGGTTGCTAACTTTCTCTAAAGATTCTGGAAGAGGTGGCAACTTGAAAAAATCAAAATATTATTAACAGCAGAAAAGATTCTGTGACTTTAGTCTACCATCAACTGATATACCTAGCCTAGTTCTCTCATTAGATTAGAAGCCAGCTTGTCACAAGTTATGAAGGATTCATTTCTGTTTTCTGTAAAAATATCAGGA